TGCTAATTTAGTAGAGCACCGCATAACAATTAAAAGTTTTTATGGGAGAATTCAAGTATACACCCTATGATTATAATTATAATTTAAAGGTTAAAGGACTAAATATGCCGAAGCATTTGTATCTTTTAAATTCGGACTTGTATTGCCCATTTGGTGCACAATTTATTTGAAATCAGATAAAGATATATATGAGAGCTATATCCAAATCTGAACCGATTTCGATAAAATTTGGCAAAGATATTTCTGAGCTATATTTGATATATTTCCCTGAATATCGTTGTTACGGAGTGCATATTACGGCTGTGGGTAACAAATCGGAGGAACAGTAAATATGGGAGCTATATCTGAACCGATCTTCACCAAATTTGACATACTAGATTCTACACTCAATTCCGTCGTAAGTGCCACATTTCATCCTATTTGGGTAAATATTAGCCGTTTGGTGCACAATAAAAGATAAATCGGATGAAGTTATATATGGGAGATATATCCAAATCTGAACCGATCTGGATAAAATGTAGCAAATTTATTTCTGAGCTGAATTTGCCATATTTCCCCAAGTATTGTTGTTGCCGAGTGCATATTACGGCTGCGGAGGACAAAAATAACAAATCGGATGAACAATATATATGGGAGCTATAGCTATATCTGAAGCGATCTTCACCAAATTTGACATACTAGCTTCTAGACTCAATTCGGTCGTAAGTGCCAAATTTCATCCCATTTGGGCAAATATTAGACGTTTGGTACACAATTAAAGGTAAATCGGACGAAGTTATGTATGGGAGCTATATCCAAATCTGAACCGATCTCGATAAAATTTAGAAAATGTATTTCTGAGCTGTATTTTATATATTTCCCCAAATATTGTTGTTACAGAGTGCATATTACGGCTGCGGAGGACAAAAATAACAAATCGGATGAACAATATATATAGGAGCTATAGCTATATCTGAACCGATTTCGATCAAATTTGGCATACTTATTTTCAGGACGAATTTGGTTGAATGTACAAAATTCCATACTATTCGGACTGATATTACACGTTTGGTGCACAATAAAAGGCAAATCGGACGATGATATATATGGGAGCTATATCTAAATTTTGACCGATTATCTCCAATTTCGATAGGGTTCGTCCTTGGTCCAAATTAATGATTTGTTCAAAATTTCATCTGGATAGCGCAATAAATGCGAACTGTACTTTGTTTATAAAAATACATGGACAGACGGACGGACGGAAATGCACAAAGACACAATACCCTGACCACCTTGTGGTGTAGGGTATAATTACTATTTTTAGAGAGGGCATTATTTTCTATAAAAGCCTAGAGATCTGTAATTGTATCAGACGATTTTCTTTATAATAAAATACCCACTTTTCTTCTATACAGTAGAGGACCTTCTTCTCACTGAGGGCATTTTATTGCCATATACAGGGTGAGATGAAAATACGGCAACCAACTTCAGACTGCTGTCATTTCCAAGCCACTCGTCCGACAGCTGTTAAAATTATTCCAGTGACAGCTCATTATATTGTTTACAAGCGTTCAAAAGCATTTTGGTGAGAATTTTCCAGAAAAAAAGTTATTCGTGATGGAGTTCAAGCGCCATAGTGTGATTTCTTTATATTTGGCTGGAAAACCAAAAGTGGATATCGTTAGAGCACTCCAGCATTTAAATGTGAATATATTTTTTGGGTCTCGTACCATCGCTCGTTACCGCGATACTGGTAGCGTAGGCCGACGTCAAGGAAGTAGACGGAAGAAAACAGCAACAGCAGCGGAAATGGTTCGAAAAGTAAAGAAGGGACTAAATCGAAACCCACGTTGCAGTGGCCCGAAAAATGGCTCGTGAGCTCAACATATCGCAATACTCCATTCGGCAAATATTGAAACATGAGCTCGGGGTAAAGCCATTGAAATTCCAAAACGTGCAAGAACTTACAAAGCAACAGAAAGAAAATAGACTCAAAAGAGCTAAAGAGTTGCTTCGCTTGGCCGAAAGGTGGTGAACTGCCGAATTTGGTTTTCTCCGTCTCCAATGAGAAAACATTCATTGTCCAGCAGTTTGTAAACAAACAAAATGATCGTGTCGATCTTGCCAAAGAGGTCAGCTGAAAATGTACACCTTCGGTTGGCCACCAGAACTCAAGCGCCGGACATGGTGATGATGTGGGCCACCATAACTGCCGATGGTCGCTCTCCGTATCAGAATAAATGCCGAATATTATCGCGAAATCATTCTGGAGGGTGTTTTAAAGCCATAACAGCCGATGTTCGCTCTCCGCTCGTATAAGTCGACCAATCAGAATAAATGCCGAAAATTATCGCGAAAATATTCTGAAGGGTGTATTAAAGGCGATGGTCGCTCTCCGCACGTATTAATCGACTGTGGCATCAGAAAAAATGCCGAATATTATTGCGAAAATATTCTGGAGGGTGTATTAAAGCCATAACAGCCGATGGTCGCTCTCCACTCGTCTTAATCGACCGTGGCATCAGAATAAATGCCGAATATTATTGCGAAAATATTCTGGAGGGTGTATTAAAGCCTTCGGCACGCTAACAGCCGCAGACCTTGGATATTCCGACAGCTGAAAATGTGCACCTTCGGTTTGCCACCAGAACTGGAGCGCGGGCTACGGTGATGGTGTGAGCCGCCATAACAGCCGATGGTCGCTCTCCGCTCGTACATATAGATCGTGGCATCAGAATAAATGCCGAATATTATTGCGAAAATATTCCGGAGGTTAATACACTCTCCGCCTTGGGCACGCAAACATTTTGGCCGCAGACCTTGGACATTCCAACAGGACTCAGCACCATTGCACTCAGCACGCGCCACCCTAGAATGGTTACAAAATGAGATTCCTCGCTTCATTTCCATCGCACAATGGCCACCAAAATCTCCGGGTACTAATCCGTTAGACAATTGTGTCTAGAGTATTTTGGAAAGCAAGTTTGGCACTAAAAAATACCATAGTGTCGATCACCTCAAACAAGCGCTTCGCTGGGAATGGGCCAAAATACCGCAGAGTAACATTCGGGCAGCGTGTGATGGTTTCATTGGCTGTTTGAAGGTCATAATTCGTGCCAAAGGTGACCTATTCGAAAAATTATTATTGTAAAATTCGAAGCTATTTCCGACATTTTTTGCTTTCATTCAAAAAAAAAAAAAAAAAATATGCCCTCTAATTTTGTTGTTATACCCTACAACACTATGTGTTGGGGGTATTATAAGTTTGATTGGGCCAGAATTTATGTAACACCTCGAAATATTGGTTTCCCATATAGGAAAGTATATATGGATCTTCCTAGCTCGCCGAGCTGAGTCGATCTAGCTATGTATGTCCGTCCGTCCGTCTGTCCGTCTGTCCATGTTAATTTGTAATCACTCTACAGGTCGCAATTATGGCCCGATCTTTACGAAATTTAGAATGTAGGTGGGGTTAAGGTCAGAATAGAACCCTATTTCTTTTGGAGATGATCGCATAATATTTAGGGGTTGAAATGGACCAAAAACTGAAAAAATTCCTGATTTTGCAGTTGCTCTACAGGTCGCAATTATAGACCAATCGACGCGGAATTTCGCATGTAGGTAGAGTTTAGGGCGGGGAAGAAGCCTACCAATTTGGGTGGTCATCGGATAATATTTAGCGGCTAAAATAGGCCATATCTTTTTTGTTGAAAAATTCAAAATTTTTCATTAAACCGCGAATATTTTAAATCCCGGCGAAATCACAAAGCCATGACAAGGTTACTTTTGATCTTTACATTGATGTTAACATCCAACAAAACGGATACATAGCAAAATATGTGCGATATATATGTCTATCAAAGAAGATATGATTGAAAGATCTCTTATATGTCGAGAACGGCTGAACTGATTTCGACAGTTCTCATTAATTCAGAATGGCCTCTTGGCAGGAAAGGAAAAACGTCTAAAAAATTCGCATAAAAATATCTCTCTAAAGATGAAAATATTGATTTTGTAATATTTTCTCATATTTTTTCAATTTTGTCATATTTTTGGCAAATTTTCATTTTGAATTAAACATTTGGTAATATTTCTACAGCTAACAAAACTAAGTAGTTAGGATTTCAGGATATCATATACAGATCGCATTTATGGCCCGATCCTTATGAAATTTTGCATGGGGATAAGATGAGGGTCAGAATAGAAGCCTACTCTTTTTGGAAATAATCGCTATATATTTAGGGGTTGAAATGGACAAAAAAAAAAAAAAAAAAAAAACCGATCCTCACGCGCATTTGAATGGAGGTTACCGGACATTGCAAAAGCCAAATAGTTTTGGATGGCCATCCAAAAATATTCAATGAGTGAAATATTTTGCCAACTTTTGTAGACAAAATACGAAAATGTCAATTCCAGTGATTTTTTGGAGAATTCACAAATACAGGAAAGACGCACTTCTGACTATTTCGTTAACACTGATTTCGTTGAGGAATATAGTCAAATGTCTGTATCTCATATAGATGCGTTTTAGTCAAAAACCAATAATAAATGTTAATCTTTTGCCACTTCTGAGAGATTATAGGTCTTTGGGAAATATTGGTTCCAGATCTAGGAAGACTATTTACGTGCAACATCTTCCAATAAATTGGAAATGAGCGAATTAGTTCAAGTTTCTATTATTCGAAAATTAGAGAACGAAACCTGATGGTTTTCTTTTATTATTTGTCACAATATCTTGTGGAATTCTTTCGAGTATCTGGCCTATATAAACTGTATAATTTATTATAGTGTTGTAGGGTATTCAACGGTCGGCCCCGCTCGACTGTAGCCTTTGCTTACTTGTTTTTTTATCTAATCTTGTGTGAGAAATACGAACTCTCTTGTCTCATAGATAATAAGATAAATTTTTTTTCAGTAGGGGTTTATGTATCGTAGAACAATTTTGACATTTGGTAAAACATAGCAAATAATGAACCTAATTCAAAACCTACTAATAGCCTCAAATATCCTCTGTCTTTCAGAAATGCCTCTCCTTAAAATTGACTTCATCAACTAAGTGATTCCATACAGGTGGAACACTTCAAATCGAAGGACCAATAAAATTGTAGTGTTTGACTCAGGCATTCCGAATACTAACTACCACGATGTTCGGACGGAACATCCCCACTATAGCGCTATATTTGATAATCACCACAACACTATGCAGAGCGGGTAATTTCCCAAAATTAAATCTTATTTTTAACAAATAATGAATGAAATTTCCTTCCAGCTCCCGAACCATTTAGCTGCATGAGCTATTTGGAAGATGATGGCATACTGCTCGAAGAAGAGGAAGACAGATCGGATAAATCCTATATAGAACCACCACAATTTGATGTGGGTGGTCTAACGTCAAAGGAATACAGTCGTGTGAATGAGGAGACGGAAAAGAGCCAGGAGGCAACAATCCACTTACGGGTCTGTCCACCGGAATTTACATTCTGCTTTTCACTGTGGCGCAAGACCGAAAATGGCTCGAAAATTGAAAAACAAGGTAAGTCGAGTTATTCTCACAAGGATGCCAAAACTTTTTACCTTTTACATAGATTTGAGAAGTCTTAGTACTCTATGAGAGGTTGATGAAGCTCTTCTGCTGTTTTATAAGGAGAAACACTTTTTTCTGCTCTATGAGAAGATACAGCTCCTCTTCTCCTCTGTGAGAGGAAAAAACTCTTTTCCTGTTCTAGAAAATGAGGTAGAAGATCTTCTTCTGCCCCCTGAGAAGCGGAAGAAGTTCTTTTCCTGCTCTATGAGAAGAAGAAACTGTTCTTACGCTTCTTGGAAGGAGGAGGATGAGCTATGCTTTTTTATCTATAAGAGAAAGAAGTAGGATGAGAAGAAGCCCTTCTTTTCGTCGATGAGAATAAGACCTACTTTCGCTTTAGGAGAAGAAAGTCTTCTTCTATTCTTCCACTTCTTCTTTTTCATATTCTAGGTGAATCAGAGGACCATCTTCTACTCTAGGAGAAGAAGATGGTCTTCTTCTGGCCTAGGTAGGTACCACCTTCTACTCTTGGAGAAGAAGAAGGTCTTCCTCTGGCCTAGGTAAAGAAGAGAGTCATTTTCTGCTCTAGATGGTATTCTCCTGCTCTAAAAAAGTAATCTTCTACTCTAGGAGAGTCTTCTCCTTTTCCAGAAGAATGAGCGAGGTTTTCTACTCTACTCTAAATAAAGAAGATCATCGTCCTTGGCTCTATGAAAGACGCTCTTCTTCTGATTTATGAGACGGGGGAGGAGCTTTTTTCCTTATCTAGAAGAGGAAGGAGAAGAAAGGAAGGCTTATTATCTAGATTGTAGAAGAAGACAAAGAAGGAGCTCTTCTTATCTCCCATTAGATAAGGAACAATGAGGTTTTATTTTTCTCTGAGAGCGGAAGGTTAAGGAACCCTTCTTCTTATTTAGGAGAGGAAGGAGAAGATCTTCTTCTGTTCTATGAGAAGATGAAGGAGTAGGTCTTTTTCGCCTCCATGAGCAGAAGAAGTTGGTCTTCTATTTTCCTCTATGAGCAGAAGAAGAATGAATTACAGGGTGAGATAAAGAATATCTGCAAGAAAGTCAAACGCCATAATTTTTACATTTTTTTAAACCACAAATGTCGGAAATAGCATCAAATTTTAGAATAAGTTTAGATATGTCCGAATTGGTCACCTTTGGAACGAATTATGACCTTCAAACGGCCAATGAAACCGTCACACGCTGCCCGAATGTTGCTCTGTGGTATTTTGGCCCATTCCCGGCGAAGCGCTTGCTAGAAGTGATCGACACTTTGGTATTTTTTAGTGCCGACCTTGCTTTCTAAAATACCCCAGACACAATAGTTCAACGGATTGGTATCTGGAGAATTTGGTGTCCATTCTGCGCTGGAAATGAAGCGAGGAACTTCATTTTGTAACCACACTTGGGTGGCGCGTGCTGAGTGCGATGGTGCTGAGTTCTGTTGGAATGTCCAAGGTCTGTGGCCTTAAAGTTTTGCGTGCCCAAGGCTTTGATACACCCTCCAGAATATTTTCGCCATAATATTCGGCATTTATTCTGATGCCATGGTCGATTAATACGAGCGGAAAGCGACCATCGGCTGTTATGGCGGCCCACACCACACCATCACCATGGCCGGCGCCAGCGCTTGAGTTCTGGTGGCCAACCGAAGCTGCACATTTTCAGCTGACCTCTTTGGCAAGTAAAAACGATCATTTTGTTTGTTTACAAACTGCTGGACAACGTATGTTTTCTCATCGGAGACGGAGAAAACCAAATTCGGCAGTTCACCACGTTCGGCCAAGTGAAGCAATTTTTAGCTCTTTTGAGTCTATTTTCTTTCTGTTGCGGTGTAAGTTCTTGCACTTTTTGGAATTTCAATGGCTTTACCCCGAGCTCAATATTTGCCAAATTGAATATTGCGGTATGTTCAGCTCACGAGCCATTTTCCGGCCACTGCGACGCGAGCTTCGATCAAATCGTTTCTTTACTTTTCGAACCATTTCTCCTGATTTTGCTGTTTTCTTCCGTCCACTTCCTTGACGTCGGGTTACGCTACCAGTATCACGGTAACGAGCGATGGTACGAGACACAAAAGATTTATTCAGATTTAAATGCTGGAGTGCTCTAACGATAGCCACTTGTGGTTTTCCAGCCAAATATAAATAAATCACACTATCCGGCTTGAGTTCCATCACAAATAACTTTTTTCTGGAAAATTCTGACCAAAATGCTTTTGTACCCTTGTAAACAATATAATGAGCTGTTACTGGAATAATTTTAACAGGTTTCGGACGAGTGGCTTTGAAATGACAGTAGTCTGAAGTTGGTTGCAGTTTTTTCATCTCACCCTGTGGAGGAAACTGGTATTTCTCCCCTCTGCGAGCAGAGGAGGATGAAGATGCTCCTCTACTTTATGAGAATAGGAAGAATGTCTTTTTCATCCTTATGGGATGACGAATATGCCCGTCTTCTCGTCTAGAGAAGAGAATCGAGACGTGCTTCCCTCGATGAGAGGTAGATGGTCGGGGTTTCTTTCATGAGATATAGAAGACCAGTCTCTCTTTTATTAGTAATTTGTGGCCTATTTTTCCTCTTTGTAAGAAGAAGGCCTGATTTTATTTTTAACAGGTCTGCTTCTCGTTTATGAGAGAAGGATACCTGATTATTCTCTATAGAGATGTAGGCCGGGTTTTTCTTCTTCTTTATGAAAGGGAGACAGACTGCTTTTCCTCTCTGAAGGGAAGTAGATCTGCCAGTTTTTTTCCTATCAGAAGGTCTTCAAGAGAGGCATGTCATTTTCCCCTCAATCTGAGAAGGTCTGCTGATCTTCAATGAAAGAAGATAGGTAGCTGCTTGAGATGTACAAGTAAAAAAGTTCATCTTCTACATTTTTGAAAAAAAAAATCAAGTAAAAATATTCGGCCGGGCCGAAGAAGGTCTTTTTCGGCCGGGCCACCATTTGGAACGAATTTGGCACTTCTCAAAAATAATAAAATCCGTTAAAAATTCTGTTAAAATCTTAAAAATACCGAATGTAGCTATTATATTAGGGTCTATACGACGACATGAATCTGTGTAGGTAACATTTGTCATAAGCCATTACAATATTCAAATGCGGAACTTAAAAAAAATGTCGATTTATAATGTCGATAAAATCAAAATACCGAATACCGTTATGTGGGGGCTATACGAAGACCAGGACCTGCACAGACAATTTTCTGCCGTACGCTGAAGTATCCATTACGAGCTTCAAATATCAAATTTGAAACAATTCTGGTGAAAAATGTCCCTAAAATCATTAAAATACCGAATATCGGAAGGTACCGTTATATGGGGGCTCTACGAAGACGGGGACCTGCACAGGCAATTTTTTTTGTCTTAGGCTGTAGTATCCATCATGAACTTCAGTTACAAAATTTGAAACGATTCCGGTGAATAAATTCGCTAAAATCATCAAAATACGGAATATCGGGAGGTACCGTTATATGGGGGCTATACGAAGACGTGGACCTGCACAGACAATTTTCTGTCTTAGGCTGTAGTATCCATTACGTACTTTAAATACCAAATTTGAAACAATTCTGGTGAAAAATGTCCATAAAATCATTAAAATATCGTATATCGGAAGGTACAATTTTTTTTGTCTTAGGCTGTAGTATCCATCATGAACTTCAGTTACAAAATTTGAAACGATTCCGGTGAATAAATTCGCTAAAATCATCAAAATACGGAATATCGGGAGGTACCGTTATATGGGGGCTCTACGAAGACGGGGACCTGCACAGGCAATTTTTTTTGTCTTAGGCTGTAGTATCCATCATGAACTTCAGTTACAAAATTTGAAACGATTCCGGTGAATAAATTCGCTAAAATCATCAAAACTCCGAATATCGGTAAGTGCCGTTAAATGAGGCTATACGAAGGCATGGACCTGTACGGAAATTTTTCTGTCATCTATTACGAACTTCAAATTTGAAACATTTTCGGTGAATAATATCCCTTAAGTCATAAAAATATACACTCCATACTCAGAGCTCTTCTATGAATGGAGGTCTTTCAGAATTCTTCATCACCCGCTAACAGTCCAAGTAATGGGTTTCCTCTTGTTTCAGGATGCTGGAAAGATAGTACCGAGGGAAATGGCAGCTGTAGCCATGCAGAGTGTGTGAGCTCATCACCCACCTTGCGCAACAATTCTCTGTATTATTGCTGCTGCTCAGGCAATGCCTGTAATCGCAAGGTGGCAGTGGTGGAACCATCATTCCTGGAGGTAAGATCAGACAGATGTTTGCCCAAATTACAACTTATTATAACATTTGTTTTTTTCCTTAGCTTTCTAAGAACAATTATGCCGACTCGAATCCCCCCGAAACCCATGAGAAGTTGTATTGGTCCAAATCGGCCATCTGGTTGGGAATGTTGGCCATAATTATGGTCGTCACGGTGATTTCCAGTTTTATCTATTGTCGCAGTGTTCGTGAGAAACCAATTCCGGAAGAGGCTCCCTTGGCACCATCGGGCCCAGGCTATAGTTCGAATTTACGAAATGTGGATAATTTAAATTTGATTTGTATGCTGGACAAGGGGAAATATGGAACGGTGATGAAGGGTTTGCTGCATGACCAGGAGGTGGCGGTGAAAATATTCCCAGAGGCCCATCAGCAGTATTTCATAAATGAGAGGAATATCTATTCGTTGCCGTTGATGGATTGTCCGGCTTTGCTGACGTATTTTGGTAAGGGGGTGGGTAATGGGAAATTGGATGAGGAGTTAATTTTTTTTATTTGGTTTGTTTAGGTTATGATGAACGCCATACCCTGGAGGGCAAGGTGGAATACCATTTGGTCTTGTCCCTGGCTCCCTTTGGCTGCCTTCAAGATTGGCTGATACCCAATGCCATGAATTTCGAAACCTTTTGCGGTATGGTGAAGAGTATTACCCGAGGCCTGTCGCATTTGCATACGGAACTGCGTCGCGGCGATGACCACAAACCCTGTATTGCCCACAGAGATTTGAATACCCGTAATATTTTGGTGAAATCCGATCTCAGCTGTTGTATAGCTGATTTTGGTTTTGCCCTGAAAGTTTTTGGTCCCCGCTATGAATATAAGGGAGAAATTGCAGAGGCTGAGACGAAGAGCATAAATGAAGTGGGGACGCTGAGATATATGGCTCCCGAGCTCTTGGAAGGGGCTGTTAATCTTCGGGACTGTGAAACTTCGTTGAAACAAATGGATGTTTACGCCCTGGGTTTGGTGCTGTGGGAGGTGGCAACACGCTGTTCTGATTTCTATCCCCCCGGGCAGCCAACACCACCCTATAAAGCTCCCTATGAACTGGAGGTAGGTTCCCATCCTTCCTTCGATCAAATGCAGTCTTTGGTTGTGCGACATAAGGCCCGACCTCTGTTCCCTGCCGGTTGGGGTGGGGGTCCAGCTGTGAAGTTGATACGTGACACCTGTGAAGATTGTTGGGATCATGATGCGGAGGCCCGTCTCACCTCGCTGTGTGCCGAGGAGCGTATGCATGAGGCAGCCTCCATTGGTATGCGTCTCAATGGCCATCTGCCGGCAACCACACCCCTGCTAAGTACCAATAACCTATCAAATGGCCTCCATGAGTCCATGGATCACAATCACAAGCCGAGGTCTCCCACAAATGTGGACCCCATGGTGGCGGAAACAAATACCGTTCTGAATCCTCCACCCAATAAGAAAAATCTACCCTATGAGGTGAATAACTGTGAGAGGCCTTCGACGACGGAAAAGAATCATTTGATACAGCCACAGCAGCAAATACAGCCATATCAGGGGAGGAATCCATGTCAGGAACGCAATCTGGCCCCCTCCTCCATGAATTGTCCCCAGCAATTGATTCAACGCAGCAAGAAACATAGCTTTCAAACACCCACTGGGGAGGAGAATAGCTTCTCCTGTCTGGATGATGATGTTTCGGTGGAGGAATTAATTGCCGCCAGGAGTTCCAAGAAATTCCCCTCCCTCGAACATGAGGAACATAATCCCATTAACAATGGCACGGCCACACACATGGGCCAGGGATTTCCCAAACAACAGAATACCGAACGTAAACTCAAAGGATGGCATGGAGTCCGAGCTCTGATACAAAAGAAACTCTTTCGCAAGGCAGACATTGCCCGCCTGGATGCCTTCCGGCAATTAAATGGCGATGAGAAATCCAATTTGGTGGAGAAAAATCATCATCACCAGAATCATCAGCAGCCGCAACAACATCACAGCAAGCCAGTGGTGATAAGTTTTATAGATCGGGAGAAGGTAAATTGTGGCAAAAGCAATTCTGTGACGCTACCCGAGCCACCTCACCAAAACGGCTATGCCGTGAATAAACGACCCAATAACCTGGACCTAAGTCCGGTCAATCAAACCAATGGCTTTAAGCTGACACCCCAGAATCCCATCACCACCATTGCCGAGGAAACGGACATCAATGATGATGCCTCCGCCACCACGGACAATGTTGAATATCGCCTCAAAAGTTTAGACAAACGAAAGTCCACACCTGCCCACAATGTTGTCTCCCGCTCTAAGTCGTCGAATTTAGTGAAATCTTTAAATAGCTCCAACAACAATCTCCATGAGGCCGAGCTGAAGGCTCTCAACGATGCAGTGATTTTGAGGAATCATTCGGCCTCGGAGCCTCAGTTTCGGCGCCAACGTAGCCTTGAAGTATTCCGCGAGGTATTCAATGCCCGCGGCAGTAATGAACGTCTCCGTGATCCTAGTCAACGGGTAAAGACGCCCGGTGATGTACCGCCATCTGTACGCAAAATACGGGCCTCGAAAACCCTGAGTCTCTACGATGATCGCATGATGGACTCATCACTGCTCAATGTGCTTTAGCATGAAGAAGTTCTGCTTCTTGAATTGTAGAAGCAGAACTATTGAGATTTTTGCACTTTCTCACTCTCTGTATTTACATTTCAAGCCATGTCTGTCTGTCAGTCTGTCTTTGTGACTAATCTAAGTATGAATTAAAAAATTCAAATCATAATCATTTGTAGATCGAAATAGTTAATCGAGTATTTGTATATTTTTATTTATTTTTGTAATCCACAATTGCCCCATTAAAATACTCATAATCATATTCGTATATAGAGATAAAGATATGTATATCACAATATGGCATCTCATATCTCAGATCCCCTCACACACACACACTCACATCTACATACACAATTGTATAGCTCTTAAGATATATACACCATGTACACATGTATGCCGTATAACAAAAAAAATAATCCATAAATTTCATTGAGGTAATGTTCGATCAGGACCAAGGCAAATCATAGGACGGATATATGAGGCCTCTCGTAACGAGAATGTAATTGAAGTTGCCCTTTTTCGATTTATTTAAAAGGTGGAAAATGTCCTTCCAAAATTAAAAAAAACCCACTCGGACTCATTTACATATTTTTTCAGTATTGTTGTCATCATTCACCTGAATAGCTTTTTCATACCCTTCACCATTTATTGATCGGCATAAAATTCTATGTCGATTAAGCGAGGTCCGTCTGTCTATACGTCTGTGGAAATCGCTCTAGCTTCCAAACGAAATAAGGAAGGTTGATGAAATTTCACCCAAATGTGTATTATGTCTGAAGGACTTTTGATATTGAAAATGGGTCATGTAGGTCCACGTTTTGGTAAAGCCCCCATATAATGGTACCTCCCGATATTCGGTACTTTGATTATTTTAGCGACATTTTTTTACCGGAATTGTTTCAAAATTAATATTTAAAGTTCGTAATAGATGCTACAGCATAAAACAGAAAATGGTCTATGTAGGTTCACGTCTTCGTATAGCCCCCATGTAACGGTACCCCACGATATTCGGTATTTTGATGATTTCAGTGACATTATTCACCGGAATTGTTTCAAATTTGATATTTGAAGTTCGAAACGGATGCTACAGCCTAAGACAGAAAATTTTCTGTGCAGGTCCACGTCTTCATATAGCCCCCATATAACGGTACCTCCCGATATTCGGTACTTTGATGATTTTAGCGACATTTTCACCGGAATTGTTTCAAATTTAGTGTTTGAAGTTCGTTACGAATACTGCAGCCTAAGACAGAAATTGTCTGTGCAGGTCCATGTCTTCGTTTAGCCCCAATATAACGGTACCTCCATATATTCGGTATTTTGATGATCGTATAACGGCTATATTCGGTATTTTTAAGATTTTAACGGATTATATATTTTTTTTGAAAATTGCCAGATTCGTTCCAAATGGTGGAGGGTATTCAAAGATCGGCCCGGCTGCACTTACAGATTTTTAACTTGTTTAAGTTACTAAAAATCAACATTTAATGGCTAAGTAGTCCTTGAAAAAATCCACGTTTGAAGAAAAAAGGTTTTGAACAAATTTTTTGTTTTTGTAGTGCCTAAAGCCTTTAAACAATATTTTCAAGACATCCTCGTCTGGGAGTCCTGGGGGAGTCCTTGACTCCCCGTGTAGGTCTCTACTTGTTCTTGAAAAAATGTTACCTCCACATCAAAGAATCACCTTCCGCTCCAGCTTCCACAAAAACAAGACAAATTTTGAATAATGGTACCTTGCAGCCCAAAAAACTTATTCCTAGGAAAATCTTTTAGATTTTAAAGAAGAGCTAAAAATATGTGACTTGTGTATCGGCATTTTGAAAATTTATAGCGGGGAGGCAAGCAAAATTGGATGGGAATGATCTGCAAATTTTTAAAGTTTTGAAAATATTCTAGTTCAGGTTCCTTTGAATCCATTCATTTTAGCTATATAGTCGCGTCGGCAATATTACAGGCAAGAATCCGTAGAATATTTTTGTAGAACAAATTAACCCTCAGTCAAGTCATTAAAGGGGTTTTTTAGCCCCTTTTCCACAAAAACGTTCGAAAAGTCCATTAATATGACGTCGTATCAGATCAATATATTTTATAAAATTGTTCCCCATAAAATTTCACTATAGGTCTCAGAACACACTGAAACTCCAAAATTTACCTACAAGCCAAAAATCGTAGAAAAACATTTTTAGGGTTAAAGTTGCAACATACCGCCTATTTTATATATTTTGAAAATGTTCGAATTAATATTCCTTGGAATCTATACATTTTAGGCAAATAGTGTCTTTGGCAGTATTATCGGAAAGAATTCGAGGAATAATTTGGTAAAAAATTAACCCTCAGTCAAGTCAGTAAAGAGGTCTTTTAGCCCCATTTCTACAAAATCGGTCAAAAACTCCACTAATATGAAGTCGTATTAGATCAATATATCTTATAAAATTGTTCCTCATAAAAATTCACCATAGGTCTCAGAACACGCCGAAACTTCAAAATTTACCTACAAGCCAGAAATCGTTAAAATATACACTTTTAGGGTTAAAGTTACAATATTCCGCACATTTTATACATTTTTGAAAATGTTCGAATTAAGATTCCTAGGAATCTATTATACATTTTAGGCAAATGAGGTCTTTGGAAATATTACTGGAAAGAATTTGGGGAAAATTTTTGTGTAACAAATTAACCCTCAGTAGAGTCATTAAAGGGGTCTTCTATCCTATTTTCCACAAAAACTTTCGAAAACTTCGTTAATATGAAGTCCTATCAGATCAATATATCTTATAAAATTGTTTCTCATAAAATTTCACCATAGGTCTCAGAACACACCGAAACTTCAAAATTTACCTACAAGCCACAAATCGTTAAAAAAAACACTTTTAGGGTTAAAGTTACAACATTCCGCCCATTTTATAATTTTTTGAAAATGTTCGAATTAATATTCCTTGGAATCTATGCATTTTAGGTACATATGTGTTTTTGGCGGAAAGAATTCGAGGAATATTTTGGTGGAAAAAATTAACCCTCAGTCGAGTCATTAAAGGGGTCTTTTGGGTTCTTTTCTTCAAAGACGTTCAAAAACTTCATTAAAATGTTGTCGTATTACATCAAAATATTTTACAAAATTGTTTCTCATAAAATTCCACCATTAAAGAAAAGGACCCAAATTTTGGTATTTGAACTTCAAAATAGATACTACAGCCTATGACAGAAAATTGTGTATGCAGGTCAACGTCTTCGTATGGGCCTCATATATCAGTACCCCCTTATATTCGGTATTTTGACGATTTTAGCGAAATTATTCACCAGAATTATTTCAAATTACGTATTAAGAGTTCGTAATGAGAACAACAGTCTGTGACAGAAAATTGCCTATGCAGGTCCAGGTCTTTCTATAGGCCCCATATACCAGTACCTCCCTATATTCATTCAGTATTTTGACGATTTTAGGCACAATACTCCCCGAAATTTGAAGTACGTAATGGATAATACAGCCTATGGCAGAAAATCGTCTGTGCAGGTCCACGTTTTGGTATAGCCCCCATAAAATCTCTTTATGTTCGGCATTTTGATAATTTTAGCTATATTATTTTTTCAAATTTCGCATTTGAATATTATAATGGCTTATGACAAAAGTTGCCTTTGCAGGTGCACGTCGTTGTATGGACCCTAATATATCGGCCACTTCAGTATTCTTAAGATTTTAACAGAATTTTTTAGGGATTTTATTTTAATTTGTTTTTTTTTTTTTTTTTTTTTTGAAAATTTTCAAATTCCTTTCATATGGTGGAGGGTATTGGCATTTCGACCCGGTCGAACTTACAGGTTTTTTACTCGTTTAGCTCTACTTTCAAAATCTGCTGGATCTTCTCCTGTAATTATTTTGTGTGTTGCAAAAATTTTTCACAATATCGAATACGAGAATTTTCTCCTTGCTCTGTTAGATCGCCATTGTCTTATATTTCAAAATTGCTTTCATATCAACTTTTTTAAAATTCTCCATTTCAACTTAAAGTATTTGCTTGGGTATTTTAAGCAACAAACTTACATGAAATGCTCTTCCGCTATTTTGAAAAAAAAAAAAAACAAAAAAATAAAAAAATACTCCGTGTGGGTAGCTATACCCTACACCACAAGGTGGTCAAGGTATTATGTTTTTGTGCATTTGTTTGTAACAGGCAAAAGGAAACGAGATAGAACCATAGTTCCTTTTGATGATCTGCATAGAATCACATTCTGAGTCGATTTATGCATGTCCGTCCGTCCGTCTGTCCATGTATTTTTGTGAACAAAGTATAGTTCGCATTTATTACCCGATCCAGATGAAATTTTGCTCAAATCACTTTTTTGGCCCAAGGACGAACCCTATTAACATTGGAGATAATCGGTAAAAATTTAGATATAGCTCCCATATGAATCTTCGTCCGATTTGCCTTTTATTGTGCACCAAACGTGTAATATCAGCCCGAATAATATGGAATTTTGCACATTCAACCAAATTCGTCCTGAAAATAAGTATGCCAAATTTGATCGAAATCGGTTCAGATATAACTATAGCTCCCATATATATTGTTCATCCGATTTGTTATTTTAGTCCTCCGTAGCCGTTATATGCACTCTGTAACAATAATATTTGGGAAAATACATCAAAAACAGCTCAGAAATACATTTGCTAAATTTTATCGAGATCGCTTCAGATTTGGATATAGCTCCCATATATAACTTCGTCCGATTTATTTTGAATGTGCACCAAACGTCTAATATTTGCCCAAATAGAATGAAATTTGGCAGTTTCGACCGGATTGAGTCTAGAAGCTAGTATGTCAAATTTGCTTAAGATCGGTTCAGATATAGCTATAGCTCCCATATATATTGTTCATCCGATTTTTTATATTTGTTACCCACAGCCGTAATATGCACTCCGCAACAACGATATTCAGGGAAATATATGAAATACAGCTCAGAAATATCTTTGCCAAATTTTATCAAGATCGGTTCCGATTTGGATATAGCTCCCATATATATCCTTATCCGATTTCAAATTGTGCACCAAATGGACAATACAAGTCCGAATTTAAAAGATACAAATACTTTGGCATATTTAGTCTTTTGAACTTTAAATTATAATTATTATCATAGCGTGTTGGATTGAATTCTCCCATAGAAACTTTTAATTGTTATGCGGAGCTCTACTAAATTAGCAAAGTGGTGTAGGGTATCATAAAGTCGGCCTCGCCCGACTTTAAGACTTTCTTTACGTTTTTTTTTTTGAAGAGTCATTGCCTCATTGAATATATTGCATTTATATTGGATACTCCCCATCCCCCACCCTCACCCATACATGCTATTTATACATAAATATATTTAATTATACAACTATACATATATATAAAATACATGAACATATAAGAATTTGATATCATTGACGTATACACACACATATTTAATAATAATTCATATATACATACATATAAATTAAATAAATGAAAATTAAAAAAAAGAATAAAAAGAATTGAATAAAAAAAACAATTAGCAAAGTGTGAAAAAATAAAAGAAAATTAAATTCAATGTTAAGTAAAGTAATGTTTGTATGTTAAATGGATGAATAAAATTTATAATATAAACATATAATCAGAAATAAAATAAAAAAATAATAATAAATGAGATTATTAAATATTTAATATATAACAATAATTGTAAACAGTATATTATACATACACTACCTACATATATATAAAAACACATATATATTTTTAAATATAAATTATATTAAAATACTAATTTCCCTCTCCTCGAAACTCCCCCAGTCCCCCTTTTTAGCCTATTCCCCTAGGACTACATTTTGTAGATATAGACAAATATTGAATGTATTTTTTTAGAACGACAACATATAACCACTCAAAAAAAATGTATTCCACAATATGGCCTTCTAGAAGAGATTTTTTTTTCAATTTTTTATTGGTTTTGAAACAAAAAAAAAAAAAAGGAAAAATTAACAACAATTTGTAAATGAATTCTATAGAAATAAATTTGTACTTGTCGTATATTTTATTAAAAACAAATCGAATTAATATACAATTGGATACAATACAATTTTTTTGTAGTTGCCTTATTTGAATATGTACATATTTATTAACAATGGAGAACACTCCACCAGTCTCCCTTTTGATTATATTCCAAATCGTAAAAAAAGATCTGTTGTCAAAGGCAATTTCAATCACACATCCTCTTCAACACCAAAAAAAATACAAAAAAATAAAAATCTCGAATCACATCACATTTGCATTTTCTTCTGTCTTCTTCTACTTCTGCTTAAGATCTATAGATTTTTAAATTTGTTTCTTTAATGTTAATTATCGTTTGTTTTTTTTTTTTTTCTCTTGTCAATAAAATTTATAAAAAAAAATCACACATATTTTTACATACATAGAACAACAACAACAAGAACAATGACAAAATAAAGAACCAAACGCCATCTACATTACATTACACCAATTTCTTTGGTTTTATTCCATTGGATGTGCAACGGGAAGAGGGTGGAGGGGGGTGGGGTGTTATTTACAATTCCAATGACAACCAACGTCAATTCCCAGTTTCTCATCATCATCATTGTGGCCTTTCCCTGAGTTCTATGGTCACCGGTTTGCTGGGCTTATTTATCAGCAGGGTAATGACATCCATTGGCTCGTCATCACCTTTCCATTCGATTTCAAAGTTACGGATTAACTGGAAAAATAAATTAGATAAAAATTGAAAATAGAAAACAAAAAAAAAAAATCCAAAATCAGAATTAAATCAAAAAGAGCTCATAGAAGACTTGGAGGTCTTCTCATAAAAGACTTGGAGGTCTTCTTATAGAATAGCTGGAGGTCTTCTCACAGAAGAGCTGGAGGTCTTCTCACAGAAGAGCTGGAGGTCTTCTCATAGACGACCAGAAGGTCTTTTCATAAAAGAGCTGGAGGTCTTCTCATAGAAGAGCTGGAGGTCTTCTCATAGAAGAGCTGGAGGTCTTCTCATAGAAGACCTGGAGGTCTTCTCATAGAAGAGCTGGAGGTCTTCTCATAGAAGACCTGGAGGTCTTCTCATAGAAGACCTGGAGGTCTTCTCATAGAAGACCTGGAGGTCTTCTCATAGAAGACCTGGAGGTCTTCTCATAGAAGACCTGGAGGTCTTCTCATAGAAGACCTGTAGGTCTTCTCATAGAAGACTCGGAGGTCTTCTCATAGAAGACGTGGAGGTCTTCTCATAGAAGACTCGGAGGTCTTCTTATAGAAGACTCGGAGGTCTTCTTATAGAAGACTCGGAGGTCTTCTTATAGAAGACCTGGAGATCTTCTTATAGAAGACTCGGAGGTCTTCACATAGAAGACCTGGAGGTCTTCACATAGAAGACCTGGAGGTCTTCTCATAGAAGAGCTGGAGGTCTTCTCATAGAAGAGCTGGAGGTCTTCACATAGAAGAGCTGGAGGTCTTCACATAGACGAGCTGGAGGTCTTCTCATAGAAGAGCTGGAGGTCTTCTCATAGAAGAGCTGGAGGTCTTCTCATAGAAGAGCTGGAGGTCTTCTCATAGAAGAGCTGGAGGTCTTCTCATAGAAGAGCTGGAGGTCTTCTCATAGAAGGCCTGTAGGTCTTATCATAGAAGACCTGTAGGTCTTATCATAGAAGACCTGGAGGTCTTCTCATAGAAGAGCTGGAGGTCTTCTCATAGAAGAGCTGGAGGTCTTCTCATAGAAGAGCCGAAGGTCTTCTGATAGAAGAGCCGAAGGTCTTCTGATAGAAGAGCCGAAGGTCTTCTTATAGAAGAGCCGAAGGTCTTCTTATAGAAGAGCCGAAGGTCTTCTTATAGAAGAGCCGAAGGTCTTCTGATAGAAGAGCCGAAGGTCTTCTGATAGAAGAGCCGAAGGTCTTCTGATAGAAGACGTGGAGGTCTTCTCATATAAGACCTCTTTTTCTATCAGAGAACCTTTTGTTCTTCTAGATTGGGATACATTTTGCTCTTCTTAATGGCGTTTTAGTTAGAAGAAGAGCCTCTCTATGTTCAGCCATCTGATTTTCTACTCACCCTCAGTAACAGCGTCAAAATATTTTGTTCCGCAAGCCTTCTGGCAATGCAGGATCTCATGCCATGGCCAAAGGGCAATACCAAATAGGGATTAATGGAGCCCTTGGTCTCACGAAGCCAACGATCAGGATTGAATATCAAGGGTTTTTCGAAATTCTGCTCAAGGCGACAGGCCACCATATTTTGGGTTACAACAACTGTCTGAACAAATATTTAAAAATTAATAAAAAAAAATATCTAAAACCAATATTTCCACAAAACTCACATCCTTCGGCACCAAATATCCGCTAAACACCATATCCTTGGTGAGAATGCGTCCAACACCCACCGAAATGGGATTAAGGCGGAATACCTCCTTCAGACAAGCACGGGTAAATGGTATACCCGAATTCAAGGATTCCGCCAATAGGGGAGAGCATTTACTCGGTAAAACCTTACAGCTTTCTTCGTGTAAACGTCTCTGCACCTCCGGATGTCGTGATATGTGATATAAAGCAAATGCCGTCGTATACGAAGTGGTATCCACACCAGCTAGAAGCAGATCTGCCGCCATACCCACAACATCATTTAAATCCAGGTTGGGATTTTTCAAATATTGCTCTACCAAACTGGTGCGGCTGAGAGAACAAGGACTTTCGGTTACCTCATCGGAGGTATCTTTGAAAAATGCCAATTTCTGGGAGACCAAGTCGACTGCCACACTTTCCATGTACTCTTGGGCTTTGCGTAATTTTTTATAGGGTCCTGTCTCATAGTGGCGCCACAGCCCCAGCCCCTGATCGGTGGGCAAGATGTTGCTGTTGGTTGTCTCTGCAGCCCACATTAGTTTGGAGGAGCGAGAATTTTCGGCTTGTTCTTCGGGCGAGAAGGAATTTAAACGTTCTCCAAAGGTGACCAGACAGGTTACTGGGGTCGATGGTGGGGAGAGAGATTTTTATATGCGGGATGTTGGGAGGGTTGAAATTTGCCTTTACTTACATTCTAGATTGAGTCTCGCCAATTTGGGTAGAACATCCACAGTTTCCGATTTTGGCAAATAGTCTAAAAACTCTTTGGTCACCTCGTCAATTTCGAGAAGAAAGCTGCGTACATTTTTCGGAACACTGATTTCTTTTTGTAACTCGGATCGAAGACGCCACCACTCGGCACCGTTTCTGAAGAGAATCAAGGAAAATTTTCGGAATTATATGTGGTAAGACCCTGAAAACGTCTGAAGAAAAGGGAATTAGAACAGCCTAAATCTTTTACAGGTCCTCTATTAAGAAACCTTTTACCTCTTCTATAAACATTCAGTACCGACCAGCTTCAGCTCGTCTATAGAGGAGACTCGACCAGCTTCAGCTCGTCTATAGAGGAGACTCGACCAGCTTCAGCTCGTCTATAGAGGAGACTCGACCAGCTTCAGCTCGTCTATGGTGAGACTCGACCAGCTTCAGCTCGTCGTCTATGGAGAGACTCGACCAGCTGCCAGCTCGTCTATGGAGAGACTCGACCAGCTGCCAGCTCGTCGTCTATGGAGAGACTCGACCAGCTGCCAGCTCGTCGTCTATGGAGAGACTCGACCAGCTGCCAGCTCGTCGTCTATGGAGAGACTCGACCAGCTGCCAGCTCGTCGTCTATGGAGAGACTCGACCAGCTGCCAGCTCGTCGTCTATGGAGAGACTCGACCAGCTTCAGCTCGTCTATGGAGAGACGCGACCAGCTGCCAGCTCGTCTATGGAGAGACTCGACCAGCTGTCAGCTCGTCTATGGAGAGACTCGACCAGCTACCAGCTTGTCCATGGAGAGACTCGACTAGCTGCCAGCTCGTCTATAGAAGAGACTCGACCAGCTGCCAGCTCGTCTATAGAGGAGGCTAGGCCAGCTTCATCAACTCGTCTATTGAGACTCGACCAGTTGCCAGCTCGTCTATAGAGGAGACTCGACCAGCTGCTAGCTCGTCTATAGAGGAGACTCGACCAGCTGCCAGCTCGTCTATGGAGACTCGATCAGCTCCAGCTCGTCTATGGAGACTCGATCAGCTCCAGCTCGTCTATGGAGACACTCGACCAGCTGCCAGCTCGTCTATAGAGGAGACTCGACCTGCTTCAGCTCGTCTATGGAGACCCGCTTCAACTCGTTTATAGTGCGACCAGCTGTAGACCTCCTTCAACTCGTCCCGGAGACTCACTCTAACTCTTCTTTAAAGATCCGCTATAACTCGTTTATGGATACTTCATTCAACTCGTCGATAGATATACCCTCTAACTCGTGTCTGAAGACTTCCCACAACACCTCCGTGAACCTCCGCTGGTCTATAAAGACGCCCTACTTCTCAGCTCTTCCATTTAAAACCCTCTGTCTCTCAGCTCTTCCATTAAAAACTCTCAGCTCGTCAATAAAGATTCCCTGACTTCTAGCTCGTCGATAAAGATTTTCTGCCTTTTTGTTCGTTTTTTAAGAATCTCTGTCTCTCAGTTCCTCCATAAGACTCACGGCCCTTCAAGTTTTCCATTAAGGTTATTTGCCTCTCAACTCGTCCATAACGGCTTCCTACCTCTTAGCTCTTTCATCAAGACTCTCTGCCTCTAATCTCATTTATTAAGTCCTCAAGCCTCTAATCTCTATCATCCAGACCCTCTGCTCTCAACTCGCTCAAAAAGACTTCCTGCCTCTACACTAGTCCATAACGACCCCCTTCCTCTTAGCTCGTCCATAAAGGCTTCCTGCCTTTAAGCTCGTAAATAAAGACTCCCTCGCCTTCAGCTCGTCTATGAAGATTCCCCGGCCTGCAGCTAGTCTATAAAGACTCCCTTGCCTTCAGCTCGTCTATAAAGACTTCCTGGCCTTCAGCTTGTCTATAAAGACTCCCTGCCTCTCATCTCGTCTATAAAGACTCCCTGCCTCTCATCTCGTCTATAAAGACTCCCTGCCTCTCAGCTCGTCTATAAAGACTCCCTGGAATTCAGGTCGTCTATAAAGACTCCCTGGCCTTCAACTCGTTTATAAAGACTCCCTGCCTCCAGATTCGTCCATAACGACTTTCTGCCTCATAGCTCGTCTATAAAGACTCCCTTTCTCTCAGATCGTTCATACAAGCTCACTACCTCCCAGCTCGACCATAAATCTCTTATTCTGAGCTCGTCTTTAGAGGCTCTTTTCTTTAACTTATCCATTAATACTTCCATCCTCTCAGCTCGCAATTAAAGACTTCAAAGACTAAATTTTTCATCACGTCTATTAAAAGTTTTTAGAGACTCTCTGACTGAGCTAATATCCCAAAAAGACTTCCTGGCTCTCAACTCTTCCATTTAGGCTCTGTGCCTCTCAGCTCATTTATAAAGACTCACTTCTCCCTCTCATCTTAAGCATACAAATTCCTAGCCTCTCAGTTCTGAGTCTATAAAGATTGCATCTAGCACCTTTATAAATCCCATTCACAGCTCGTCCTCCAAAATTTTGGGTTTGGTTAAAATTAATTTTTGGAATTAAAATTTTGAATAAAAACCTTTTTTTGTTAATAAATTCACAACTCAAAATTAATCCAATCACAATCACTTTCCGATCAGCAAAAAAATGTACGGATCAGTGATTTTTACATTCTCCTACGTCACTACGATTTCACTTACGTTGGCAATAAGCCGGCGGAACGATAAATATGTGGACGATCTGTTCGATATTTGGCCAGGGCCAAATGACTTCTGCGCAGGGGATAATCTTTACAATTCAAGAGAGTGGCTATATCCTGAGGATCATAAAGCCATACAATATCCTGGCCCGGTACCATGGTCTCCTTGACAATGGGACCATATTCCCGATACTTATCATGGCCCGCCTTATGTAATTCCAACCAGGTGTAACTACCCACAATGGGTAAATATTTATAAAGATTTCCCAATCCGAAGGGGCCACGAGGACCGGGTATACTTTCATAGGATTTCGAAAATTGCAATTTTGAGCTGGAATTTGTGCTAAAACGCCGTTTCACTTGGCAAATTGGCGGAGATCTTAAAAGACAACACCGCATTTTAAATCGATCTAATTTTTGTTGCTGTTTGTTTTTGTTCTTTTCCCCGTTGCCCGCCGCTCAATCAATCAAGAGTAGATTTTTTGTTTTTATTTTTTCTCGGTTACGACTTGTGCACGAATGTAAACAAAAGGTATTTTAACTGATCCGCTTGTTTGTTTTGCTTCCAAATGTTTTCGCGAGACTAACAAATCTTGATTGACATTGGAAGGTAGGCAGGTAGGTAGGTAAGGCAAGGTGCTGCAGATAACAATACCCCAAGACCCGAATCGAAGAAAACGATTCTCAAATAGAGCAGCAGCAGTCAGCAGTCCGGCTGTGGTGGTCGCTCGTTTGTCGTCAGCGAAACATGGGATCAAAACAAAAACAGGAGAACATCTAAAGCACGAATACAACATTGAAAGCTTTTATGAGCTTTTAAACCTGGTTTATTGTTGGTATTCGTAGGGGGAGAAAAAATCAATGCCGAAAGCTTTTTAAAGAGCTTTTAAATTTGGCTTTAATTTGGTATTTTTGGAGACGTTGTGAGGGGAGAAACTTAATTTTGTCTTGGAGACTTTAGTGGGGAATGATGTTGCCATAGTTGTTACGAATTTTCAAAATAAACCGTTAAAATCGCAGAACAAAAAATGTACGACATTTATAAAACCATAAGTAGAAGGCCTCTTAAAGGAAGGAAGGACCTCTTAAATAGATAGAGGTCCTTAGGAATATGAAAACAAGTCCAGTTTAAGAAAACTTCTTCGATTTTTATAATTTGTTTATTTCAGGGGTAGAGATTTCTACACTGATTTCATGGAACTATTTTTTCTGGGGGACAGACTCGGGTATCCAAATATTTGGCCGAAAAGTCAAAGCGGTATCAAAACAAAATATTTGGCCGGAAAATCTAGCCCGCCTACATAGACGTCCTTTTTTCCATCTCTCTCAGCTCTTCTAAAATATTTCTTGCCTCTGCTCGTCTAAGGCTACCCGATCTTCAGTTCGTCTAAAAAGGCTCCCTGGCCTTCAGCTTGTCTAAAAAGATTCATTTGTCTGCAGCACGTCTATAAAAACTCCCTTGCTCTCAGCTTTTCTATAATAACTCCATGCCTTCCAACTCGTCTATAAAGGTTCCCTGGCCTGCAGCTCGTCTATAAAGACTCCCTGGCCTGCAGCTCATCTATAAAGACTTCCTGGCCTGCAGGTCGTCTCTAAAGACTCCCTGGTCTGCAGCTCGTCTCTAAAGACTCCCTGGTCTGCAGCTCGTCTCTAAAGACTCCCTGGTCTGCAGCTCGTCTCTAAAGACTCCCTGGTCTGCAGCTCGTTATAGAGACTCTCTGGCCTTCAGCTCGTCTATAAAGACTTCCTGGCCTTCAGCTCGTCTATAACCCGTTTATAAAGACTCCCTGGCCTCCAACTCGTCTATAGAGACTCCCTGGCCTCAAACTCGTCTATAGAGACTCCCTGGCCTACACCTCGTCTATAAAGACTCCCTGGCCCTCAGCCCGTCTATAAAGACTGCCTGGCCTTCATCTCGTCTATAAAGACTCCCTGACCTTTAGCTCGTCTATAGAGACTCCCTGGCTTTCAGCTCGTCTATAGAGACTCCCTGGCCTTCAGCTCGTCTATAGAGACTCCCTGGCCTTCAGCTCGTCTATAGAGACTCCCTGGCCTTCAGCTCGTCTATAAAGACTCCCTGGCCTGCAGCTCGTCTATAAAGTCTCCCTGGGCCATCAGCTCGTCTATAAAGACTCCCTGGGCGATCAGCTCGTCTATAAAGACTCCCTGGGCCATCAGCTCGTCTATAAAGACTCCCTGGGCCATCAGCTCGTCTATAAAGACTCCCTGGGCGATCAGCTCGTCTATAAAGACTCCCTGGGCGATCAGCTCGTCTATAAAGACTCCCTGGGCGATCAGCTCGTCTATAAAGACTCCCTGGGCGATCAGCTCGTCTATAAAGACTCCCTGGGCGATCAGCTCGTCTATAAAGACTCCCTGGGCGATCAGCTCGTCTATAAAGACTCCCTGGGCCATCAGCTCGTCTATAGAGACTCCCTGGCCTTCAGCTCGTCTATAGAGACTCCCTGGCCTTCAGCTCGTCTATAGAGACTTCCTGGCCTTCAGCTCGTCTATAGAGACTCCCTGGCCATCAGCTCGTCTATAGAGACTCCCTGGCCTTCAGCTCGTCTATAGAGACTCCCTGGCCTTCAGCTCGTCTATAGAGACTCCCTGGCCTTCAGCTCGTCTATAACGACTCCCTGGCCTTCAACTTGTCTATAAAGACTCCATGGCCTTCAGCTCGTCTATAACGACTCCCCTGGCTTCAGCTCACCTATAACAACTCCCTGGCCTTCAACTCGTCTATAGAGTCTCCCTGGCCTTCAGCTCGTCTATAACGACTCCCTGACCTTCAGCTCGTCTTTAGAGACTCCCTGGCCTTCAGCTCGTCTATAAAGACTCCATGGCCTTCAACTTGTCTATAAAGACTCCATGGACTTCAGCTCGTCTATAACGACTCCCCTGGCTTCAGCTCACCTATAACAACTCCCTGGCCTTCAACTCGTCTATAGAGTCTCCCTGACCTTCAGCTCGTCTACAAAAGACTCCCTGTTCTTCAGCTCGTCTATAAAGACTCCCTGGCCTTCAGCTCGTCTATAGAGACTTCCTGGCCTTCAGCTCGTCTATAAAGACTCCCTGGCCTTCACCTCGTCTATAGAGACTCCCAGGCCTGCAGCTCGTCTATAAAGACTCCCAGGCCTGCAGCTCGTCTATAAAGACTCCCAGGCCTGCAGCTCGTCTATAAAGACTCCCAGGCCTTCAGCTCGTCTACAAAAGACTCCCTGTTCTTCAGCTCGTCTATAAAGACTCCCTGGCCTTCAGCTCGTCTATAGAGACTTCCTGGCCTTCAGCTCGTCTATAAAGACTCCCTGGCCTTCAGCTCGTCTATAACGACTCCCCTGGCTTCAGCTCACCTATAACAACTCCCTGGCCTTCAACTCGTCTATAGAGTCTCCTTGGCCTTCACCTCGTCTATAGAGACTTCTTGGCCTTCACCTCGTCTATAAAGACTCCCAGGCCTGCAGCTCGTCTATAAAGACTCCCTGGCCTTCAGCTCGTCTACAAAAGACTCCCTGTTTTTCAGCTCGTCTATAAAGACTCCCTGGCCTTCAGCTCGTCTATAGAGACTTCCTGGCCTTCAGCTCGTCTATAAAGACTCCCTGGCCTTCAGCTCGTCTATAACGACTCCCCTGGCTTCAGCTCACCTATAACAACTCCCTGGCCTTCAACTCGTCTATAGAGTCTCCTTGGCCTTCACCTCGTCTATAGAGACTCCCTGGCCGTTTCTCACAGGTCTCCAATCTCGCTGTTCCTCTAGATCTCCTTCCGGACTTTATTGACTCCCTTTCTCTCACCTTGTCTCTCAACAACATTTTATATTTTCTCTAAGACCTTCCACCCAAGAAATTTGTTCACACCTTCGTAAAACGAGACATTAGTGTAGATGTGTGAATTTACCGGCATTTTTAATCTCTCGTGAGTGCAATATCTCCCTCAAACACACATTGTGTCATATCTAAGTCATAGATAAGATAACAGAACTATTATCACATCTTCACATGAGTCGGCGCTGGGCGACAACAAACCCTGGCCGGCTTAGTCATAAACAAAATGAATTTCAAAGCGATAACATTGGCAATAGTTCTACTTATTGCTGCGGAGCAATGTCGGGCGAAAAATATTCTTTGCCTACTGGGAGTTGGTACCCAGACGACCAATAAATGGTAAGGAGCGAATAAGTTTTAATGAAAAAAAAAATTAAAGAAATATTTTTTCAGGAACTATGCCCTGCTCAATGAACTGGAACAACGAGATCATCACCTGACAGTGGTCACCTCAAATCCAGCCAATGAATTCGAAGACTCTTTTCTCAATGCCGAATTTATACACCTGGAAAAAACCCAAACATTTCTCCGGCAACGCTACGAAGCTCTGACCCATGCGGAGTTGTTGCACCAGTCCACCTGGAAGTTTGTCGTTCATTGGTATGACAGACAGATGGCCACATGTCGGGCTAATCTCGAATCAATTGGTTTTTCAGAGGCTCTGCACTTGGCTGTCAAAGAGAAACGCCAATACGATCTGATTATTTACGATGTCACATATGGAGCAGGTTGTTTGTTGCATTTGGCCTATTTGTTTGGCCAGACGCCAATAGTTGGCCTTGCCAGCGGGCATTTGAATGTTCAAAATTTGTTGCCGCTGTCGGTAGCAGCAGGTGAGCTATTGAATCCGTCACTGCACCCGTATGTTTTGAGCGATTTCGGCCGGGATATGAGCTATTGGCGACGTTGGCATAATAATGCGCTGTATGCTTTCGATTATTTGTGAGTATATTGTGGGGTAAAATTTAAAGGGTGAAAAAAGGGGGAGGGGGCTAATGTTAAAAGGTGTTTGAGGGGGAAGGGTCTAATTGTTAGAGGAGTGTTATGTATTCTCTTCATAAAATATCTTCTATTTTGAAAACCTCTCTGAAAGAGACATTTAGAAGGTTTTCTCTCTTTGGAAAACCTTTAAAAATGTTACCTATGGGAAGCCTGTGAAATGTATTCCCTCTAGCAAAGACTTGAAGACCTTCTACAGGGTTTCCACGGAAAAGAGACTCCTCAGGGATCTTTATGGAGAAAACTGCTTTGTATGGATAAATTTCCAGTTGAAGATATTTTATGTAGAGAGAACCTTTAAAAAGTAGAACCCCCATTAAATATCTTATTTGGAATGGAGATTCTTCAAATGTCCCATTGGATTGCAGAGGAGACCCTTTTCACCACACTCTCAATCAGAGTCCAGTACTTTTTTAGGGGTCACCTCTCTAGAGAAGAACTTTAAAGTTCACCTCTTTATTGAAACCCTTAAAAATTTTTTCTCGCCAAGAAAGATCTTCTCTTCTCAATAAAATTTTAAGAATAAAATATTATGACTCTCTACCGGGCCCTGTTAATGGGGTCCTTAAGGTAAAATTTAATTTTTTTTAAACGACTTATGTTGAGAGAAGATCGCTAAGAGGTCTTTCAAAGGAGAGAGGGAGAGAGATGACTTTTAAAGGGGTTCTATGGTCCCTGAAGGACAATTACTGAGGTTTTCTATGCAAAAAAAGACCTTTGAAAATCTCCTACAGAGAGAGGGAGCCTTTCCTAGGTTTACTGTAAAAAATAGGTCCTTGAAAGGTCCTCTGTGGAATAAGCCTTTCGAGGGATCCTCTAGAGAAAAGACTTTTTAAAGGATCTACTCTGCATTGAACACTTTTTCAGTGTTTTATATGAATACATGAGGAGATACTTTTAAGGTCTTATGTGGAGAAAACATGCTTTAAATGTCACTACTCTTTGGAGATTAGGACCTTGAAAGGTCTCCTGTGGAAAAAGGCACTCTTTCAGGTTCTTCTGTGTAGAAAACATGCTTTGAATGTCACTTATGCTGAATAGAACCCTTAAATGTTTTCTATAGAGAGAATCCCATTTTAAGTCTTCTGTGTAGAATAAGCCCTTAAAGGATCCACTCTGAATTGAACACTTTTCCAGAGTCTTATATGGATAGACGACCCTATGATGGTCTTCTATGGAGAGAAGGCCCTATAAAGGGTCCTCAATAGAGAGACGACCAATAGAGGATCCTCTATGGAAAAAACTTTTTTTAAGATCTTCTGTGGACAGAAGGCCTTTTAAGGGAACCTGATGGAGAGAAGGCCCCATAAAGGATCTTTAATAAAGAGACGACCAATAGATCCTCTATGGAAAAAAACACTCCTTAAGGATCCTTTGTGGATAGAATATCTTTGAAGGTCTTCAAGAGAGAAAGAGAGATGAGACCTCAAAGGCCTTCTATGGAGAGAAGACCCAATAAAGGTCTTCTATGAAGAGAAGATACTTTAAAGTACGGAGAGTTAAGAGTTATGTTATGTTATGTGGGAAAAGGGTCTATATGTTTAGAGAAGACCCCTTAAAGGCCTTCTGTTGAGGGAAAAATCTTTACATATTTTTTTTATATAGCTTTTGTGGAGAGAAGAACCTTAAACAGTTTTTTAGGGAGAGAATACCATCCAAGAACTTCCTCAATCTTTTAACCAATTTCTTCCCTTTCAGATATCGAAAGTTACTGGTAAACCCCGTGATTGAAGGCATCTGGTCCACGAATATGCAATCGAAGAGCATCGTCACGCCCAAGAAGTTTGATAAATTATTACCACGTTTCAAAGCCATTCTGGCCAATTACCATCCCTCGCTGCACACGCTACAAAGCTTACCCAATTACATTGTTCCCGTGCCAGGTTTACATATCCAAGGACCACAGAAGCTTAACGAAGATGTCTTGAAGTTTGTGGAGAGCTTCAAAAAGGAAGTTATTCTGATTGATATGGAGAAGAACCTATTGGATTCGGATCATAGCCAGGCCCTCTTGGATGTCATTAAACAATTTCCCAATAATGGTTTTGTGTGGATTAATGCCAAGGGCAAGGTGTCGGGAAAGAATGGCGGTAAAAACTTGCTGCAGTTGAACAATGTGGAGGCTGGACAAATATTAGGTGGGTGGTGGCAAAAGGAATTTTAATATCTGAATTAAAAAAAAATAATAATGTTCTCATCCTTTTCAAGGTCATGACAAGGTTAAGTGTGCAATAGTGTTACCCGAACTTTTGAACGTCCAGGAGGCATTATACCATGGTGTAACACCATTGACCATTACAACTTCTCCGGAACAAAGATATGTAAGTATTGGATATAACTGTAAAATTGGAAGAGATAAGAAGTGGAAATCGAATTAAAAAAAAAACGATTAGCTATTCTCACCCTTCGATTTCAGTGGTGAAATGGATTTCCAAAAATTTCCATCCAGTTTTTGAAATTCTATTTTCAAATTTTCAAGAACCCGGAAATACTAAATATTTCATACCATTCTCTTACAGCTTGCCCAAAGGCTATTGGAACGCAAACTTGGACTCAACCTGGAGCTCTATAAATTCGACAAAACCCAACTTCACGATACCCTAAAATCCTGTCTCAATGACAAAACGCTACACAAAAATGCCCAACAATTCTCTGCATCGTTGAAGAAACAACCAAATCCTTCACTTGAGACAGCCATATGGTGGGTGGAACATATCTCAGAAAACCCTCAGGCCCAGGATCATTTATTAGATGCGAAATCCAGCCTTAGTTTCCTGGCCCTGCGTGGTCTCGATATTCTCTTGGTTGTGGAAATTTTCCTGGTCCTCTGTGCCGTCAACTCGGTTTTCATTTTGCGGCAAACATTTTTAAATTTCAAAAATGCCGCCCAGAAGGCAAAAGCCAAGGCAAAGAAAAGTGTCAATGAGAGAGCTGTGGATGTTGTCAGGAAAGAGAAGAAATTGAGTGCTGACAAGAAGGAGAAAAAGGCGAAAGCAAAAACTTCTTAAAGACTGAGGAATATTTTTTATTAAAAAAAAATATTTTAAAAAAATAATAAAAAAATAAAAAGTTTCAAAATTGTGGAATAGTGAAATAACTGACCGAGAATCATCACCGAGAAGGAACGACTAAAGCTAGAATCTTGAAATTTTGCACAAGGATCAGTCTTGGTGCCTAGGTATGTCATAAGGCTAGGTTTTTGGAAAGTTCGTGCTAAAAGGATGTGAGAAGTCTTTTAGGGTCTTCTGTGGAGATAAGAGTCTATCAATGTCGTCTGTGGAGAGAAAATCTTTTTCTGCATAAAAAAAGAACCCTTAAAGGTATTGAGAATAGAACCCTTAATGGTCTTGTATGGAGGGAAAACACTGCAATGGTATTTTGTGAAAAAGAAACCTTTGTGGTCTCCTATAAAAAGAAAGCACTTCCCATATGGTGGAAAGACTCTTCAGAGGATCCTCTCTGTAGAGAAAACTCTTTAAGGGCCATCTGTGTATAGAGGATTCTTTATTGGTATTTTGTGAGGGGAATACTCTTTATGGCTCTCCTATGGAGATAATACACTTTGAAGGTCTTTAGAGAGAGAGAGAGAGTATGGAATCTTGAAATTTAGCACAAGAGTCAGTCTTGGTGCCAAGGCATGTGATTTGGCTGGGTTTTTGGAAACTCGTACTGAAACGATGTGAGAATTACTAAGATTTCCTAAAAATTGAATAATCGTCCAATACGATTAAATTTGGAGTGAGAGTGGATGATGGAGTACTGGACAGATGTACCAAAGGATTTTTTGGAAATTCGAACTTTAAGGTTATGAAAAGTTCTAAAAAGGTACCAAACTTCTAAAATGGTACCATTTGGTATTATTTTAATGGATAGACATAAAAGCTTGAAATTTGGTATGACAATCACGCTTGGAATGTACGTTTGATATACAGGGTGAGATAAAAAACTGCAACAAAGTCAAACGCCATAATTGTTACATTTGTTTTTAAATTCTATTCAATGAATGCAAAAAAACCGAAATAACATAAAATTTTAGAATAAATTTAGATTTGTTCGAATTGGTCACCTTTGGCATGAATCATGGCCTTCAAACGGCCAATGAAACCGTCACACGCTGCCCGAATGTTGCTCTGTGGTATTTTGTCCCATTTCCGGTGAAGCGCTTGCTTCAGGTGATCGAAACGTTGGTATTTTTTAGTGCCAACCTTGCTTTCCGAAATACTCCAGACATGATAGTCCAACGGATTGGTATCCGGAGATTTTTGTGGCCATTGTGCGCTGGAAATGAAGCGAGGAACCTCATTTTGTAAGCATCCGTGGGTGACGCGTGCTGAGTGCAATGGTCCTGTTGGAATGTCCAAGGTCTGCGGCCAAAATGTTTGCGTGCTCAAGGCTTTAATACACCCTCCATCATATTTTCCCGATAATATTCGGCATTTATTCTGATGCCACGGTCGATTAACACGAGCGGAGAGCGACCAACGGCTGTTATGGCGGCCCACACCATCACCATGGCCGGCGCTTGAGTTCTGGTGGCCAACCGAAGGTTCACATTTTCAGCTGACCTCTTTGGCAAGTAAACAAAAGATCATTTTGTTTGTTTACAAACTGCTGGACATCGAATGGTTTCTCATCGGAGACGGCGAAACCCAAATTCGGCTGGTTCACCACTTTCGGCCAAGCAAAGCAACTCTTTAGCTCTTTTGAGTCAGTTTTCTTTCTGTTGTGGTGTAAGTTCTTGCACTTTTTGGAATTTCAATGGCTTTACCCCGAGCTTATTTTTCAATATTTGCCGAATGGAATATTGCGATATGTTCAGCTCATGAGCCATTTTTCGGCCACTGCGAAGCGGGTTTCGATCAAGTCGCTTCTTTACTTTTCGAACTATTTCTGTGGATGTTGTTGTTTTCTTCCGTCCACTTCCTTGAAATCGGGCTACGCTACCAAAAGATTTATTCACATTTAAAAGCTGATGCTGGAGTGCTCTAACGATAGCCACTTCTGGTTTTCCAGCCAAATATAAAGAAATCACACTATCACGCTTGAATTCCATCCGGAATAACTTTTTTTCTGGAAAATTCTCACCAAAATGCTTTCGTACGCTTGTAAACAATATAATAAGCTATCACTGGAATAATTTTAACAGCTGTCGGACGAGTGGCTTAGAAGTGACAGCACTGTGTTGGTTGCACTTTTTTCATCTCACCCTGTATTTTTAAAGGATTAAAAAAATGTGGTAAACGGGGAAACTTTTGCCCTCTCTTTTGGTTACTTTTCCATATAGGCTTAATAAACGCCGATACAAATGCCTCTTATTTTTAGCTTTACTTTCATAGTCCGCCGGATTTTTTTACACCATCCACCATAGTATGGAGTGTATGTTATGTTTATCATTCGGTTTGTAGCACCTCAAAATATATATTTTAGACCCCACAAGGTATATATATATTCTTGATCCGCATAAAATTTTATATCGATTTAGCGATGTTCGTCCGTCTTTACGTCTGTGGAAATCATTTAGCTTCAAAACGAAATTAAGTAGATTGATAAAATTTTACTCAAATGTATATTATGTCTGCAGGACTTTTGGTATTTAAAATGGGCCATGTAGGTCCACGTTTTGGTTTAGCCCCCATATAACAGCACCTCCCTATAAACGGGTTTTATTTTATTTGCCGGATTTGTTTCAAAATTTCGTATTTGGAGTTCCTAATGGGAAAAACAGTCTGTGCCAGAAAATTGTCTATGCAGGTCAAGGTCTTCGTTAGGCCCTATATAACTATAGCACGCTATATTCGGTATTTTGATGCTATTAGCGACATGGTTTACCGGAATTGTTTCAAATTTCATATTTAGAGTTCGTAATGGGAATTACAGGTTGCCTATTAAGGTTCAGGTATTCGTACAGCCCCCATATAACTGTACCTCTCTATATTGGGTATTTTGATGATTTTAGGGACATTGTTCACCGGATCTTTTTCAAATATCGTATTTTAAGTTCATAATGGGAACTACAGCGTATGCAGGTCCAGGTCTCCCTATATTCGTATAACCTCCATATAACTGTGCCTCCCTATAATCGGTATTTTAATGATTTTAGGGACATTATTAATCGGATCTATTTCAAATTTCGTAATTGAAGTTCGTAATGGGTACTACAGCCTGTGACAGCAAATTGTCTATGCAAGTCCTCGTCTTCATATAGACCAAAAATAATGCTAACTCCCCATATATGTCTATAATTTTAAGAGAATTTTTAACGGATTCTATTTTTATACCCTACACCGCATAGTTGTAAGGGTATTATGTCTTTGTGCATTTGTTTGTAACATGGAGAAGGAAGCGAGATAGACTCATAGTCACTTTTAAGGATCTCCATAGAATCACTTTCTGAGTTGATTTATGCATGTCAGTCCGTCCGTCCGTCTGTCCATGTATTCTTGTGAATAAAATGCAGGTCGCATTTATTATCCGATTGAAATTAAATTTTCCAAACAACATTTTTTTGGCCCAAGGACGAACCGTATTGAAATTGGAGATAATCGGTCAAAATTTAGATGTTGCTCCCATATATATCTTCGTCCGATTTGCCTTTTATTGTGCACTAAACGTGTAATATCAGTCCGAATAGTATGGAATTTTGCACATACAACCAAATTAGGCCTGAAAATAAGTATGCCAAATTTGATTGAAATCGGTTCAGACATATAGCTATAGCTCCCATATATATTGTTCATCCGATTTGTTATTTTTGTCCTCCACAGCTGTAATATGCCCTCTGTAACAACAATATTTGGGGAAATATATAAAATGCAGCTCAGAAATACCTTTGCCAAATTTTATCGAGATCGGTTCAGATTTGGATACAGCTCCCATATATATCTTTATCCGATTTCAAATTAATTGTGCACCAAGTGGGCAATACTAGTCCGAATTTAAAAGATACAAATGCTTCGGCATATTTAGTCTTTTGAACTTTAAACTATAATTATAATCACAGCGTGTATGATTGAATTCTCCCATAAAAACTTTTAATTGTTATGCGGAGCTCTACTAAATTAGCAAAGTGGTGTTGGGTATCATAAAGTCGGCCCCGCCCGACATTATGACTTTCTTTACTGTTTTTTATTTATTTATTTATTTTTTGAAAAATTTTCAAATACTTTCCAAATGTTGGGGGGTATTCCAAATTCGGCCCAGTCAAACTTACTGCTTCTTTACTTGTTTCAATTAATCTCCTCGCCCAAAAATAGCTCTTTTACACATTTTATACTCACCTATTTCCATCGCCTATAAATTTTTGTAGTAATTTCATGTTTTTTTTTTTAATTTTCAAATATTTTCAAATTTTATTTACATTTCGTTTTGTTTTTATAATAATTATTATTCTTAAATTTAATTAAATTAAAATAATGTACAAGAATTTTGTTATACATACATATGGAAGTGGAGTAGATGAGGAAGGAAGAGAGGGCAAAAAAAAACACAAACCAATTTAAAAAAATAGTATTGCCCACTACCATGAATTTGCAAAAAACGGATTGAAATTATTGTTTGTACTACAAAAATAAAACAAATTGGTATACAGTGCACGAAACAGGTATTCGACACAAGAATTTCCTTTTAGGGTAACGTGGCCAAAAAAAAAAAAAACTAAATACCACAAAAATAATAAAAAAAAAAAATAACAGCAATGGTGGGAATACTTTTTTCGGAAATTGGTTTGGTCGTTGGTTGGTGGTTTAGTTTTCTAGTTTTTTTCTTTTGTTGTTATATGTAGACTACTTATTGTATAATCGTAGCAGTGTTGAAGAAATACTTACAAATATTATTAATAATTATTTTTTTTATTAATTATTATTTTTTATAATTTATATATAAATTATTTAATTAAGAGGTTTTCGTTTATTGTTCTACACTAATGAAGTTGTCGTTTTCTATTTTTTTTTATTTTATTAAAAACTACAAAATGTCAATCTATCAATGTGTGAGTAAATATCTAAATATTTATATATGTATTTAAATAAAATAATTATTTTTTTATTTAAATTAATATTATTTTTTTATTTTAAATTATTATTGAATAAAATAAAATATGTTATGTTAAATTACAATTTTGGGCATGAACAGCGAATACATAATGTAATGTTAATATGGCAAGATTAATACATGAAAAATATTTTTATAAAAAAAAAACAATCAGGGCCAATTTTTGTATATTTTAATAAAAAAAATTAATTTTTAAATTTTTTTCAAATAAAAAAAATTAAATCCCCAAAAGACACTTGAAATTGGTGTTCTTTTTAATTTTTTTTTTAATTTCCGCATACATACACAGACCCTTAATTTTTTAAATAATAGGAAAATTTTGAAAAAAACCATAAGGGCACTTAAAATACCCACATATTCGAAAAATTCATTTATTGTTAAAAGTTCAAATTTGGACTTGTGAGGCCTTTGATAATAGTCTTGAGCTTAAATGGCTTAAATAAATTTGTATAAAACACAGGGTGAGACTTCTGTAGACAGAGAAATTTAAGAAAGTTTTCTATGCTGACTGAAGGCCTTAGGAGGAACTTTTCAAGTATTTTTCTAGACAGATGACCTTTGGATGGTTTGAAGGACCTTTTCAAAGTCTTCCATCTTCAGAAGACCTTCGAAGCACCATCCAAGGTCTTCTTTGGACCGAAGGCCATTCGGAACTCCCTTCTGCTTACCCCTACAGAGGTACTTATTAACAAGCAACGAAAGGTGCCAAATTATATAGGTTTCCATGTTTGTGGTATAAAAAGTAAAAAATTAAAGGGTAATGGTTTTTATTAACCAAAAGAAGGCTAAAAGAATTCGCAAAAATTCTATGACGTTGACATTTTGTCATTTTGCCTATAGTGTAAAGCATCAGAGGTTTGGGGATGGTGTGATTGGCTAATGGTATTACCAAAATTTCAGCCTTTTTTAATGTACTTTTATAGATGCCTAACGTTGGGCGCCATTTTTTTTAATTATAATTGCATTCAATTTTACTTTAATATTATTTCTAGCAACAGGGTACAGTTTTATTTATGCAGCATTCGGCCTAATTTAAATTGCATTTAAATCTTATTTTTGACAATGGCGCCCAACTTGTGGACCAACATTTTTTTATATCCTCAGATATGGCTAGAGAGGGAATATGCAATGCAACCAAATTCAGACTGCTATCATTTCTAAGTCACCATCTCACCCAGCACGCGCCACCGCCAAGAATGCCAATCCGTTGGACTATTGTGTCTGAAATATTTTGGAAAGCAAGGTTGGCACTTAAAAAATACCAAAGTGTCGATAACCTCAAACAAGCGCTGCGCCGAGAATGGGCCAAAATACCGCAGAGCAACATTCGGACAGCGTATGACGGTTTCATTAACCGTTTGAAGGCCATAAATCGTGCCAAAGGTGACCAAATCTAAACCTATTCTAAAATTTGATGTTATTTCCAACATTTTTTGCTTTCATTCAGTAAAATGATTTAAAAAATTGGCCTTTGACTTTGATGCAGTTTTTTTTATCTCACCCTGTATGTTACCTCACCCTGTATAATAAATTATTTTTTAAATAATTTTATAATAATAATTAATAAATTATTTATTAGTTTTTAATCCTTTTCCTCTAGAATTTTCCTATTATTTAAAAAATTTTGTTTCTTTTTTGTTTTTGTTATGATTATTTAATTAATATTATACATGAACATTTGTTTGTTTTTTTTTTTTCAAATAACACAGTTAGAATATCGCTTAGAAATCGTGTTTAAAGATAGATATTTAAAGCATCGCGCTGTGAGGTGATATGTGGTGTGAATTTTGTTAAAATGAGTTTTGAAATGGTGCTAAATTGAAGAATTCGATTGTTTTTTTTAAATTGGCACTTAACTTCATCTTTGGTTAATATTTCAGGGTAAGAGGGCATGGGTGTAGAACTATGTATTTTTTATGTGGGGCAAAATTGAATAAATTGTATAAAAATTAGATAAAACTGATTTCTATTTTGAAGAACTAATCAATACTTGATGGGAAAAACTTCAAAATTATTTCGATGGAGTGGGAAAGTTAAGAAAACAAATTTTATCACTTTATTTTTATTGCAAAACCAGCTAGGAGAACTTTAAAATGGAGAATATCACACAGATTTTGTCTAGCGCCATCTATATGTCAAATGGGTAAGTAGTAAAAGATAATGGTTGTAAGCAACATTAATTTTTATTAATTTGTCACCAGTCAAGCCTAAAAGTATGCTCATTTACATAGATCACCCGCAGAATGTTATGTTCACCTTATATCAAAATCAAGATGGTGCTCTCCTTATTAACAATTTTCTGAATGAATTTTCATAACATACACCTATGGTTATTTCACAGTAAATATTTGGTGTATATTTTTTAGATACAAAACCAGTAATCTAGTTTCGATTACAGTAAAATTATTCCCGTCATTATATATTTATCCGGGAATCACACATTTGACGAATGCCAACATAAAGATAGCGCCCTTTTTCTATTTTTTAGAGTACAAGAAATTTTCTAACACTAACATTTTACACATATTTCAATTAACACTCCTCATGTCAGACCCAGACAGCATTAATAACACAAAACTGCTCGATTAAATTTTCTCTGCTCCATCTGGTCGTCGATGAAGCAGTCAGTCCCTCCCTCAGACCAGCTTATCTCGGAGCACCGTTTAAGTTTCGTTGCAAATTTTATTCGAACAGTTTTCTTATAGTTTGCTAAAAAGGCAGTACTGTATAAACTTCCAGCTCGGTTAGATATCTCCTAAAAGTATGCAAACCATTTAATATTTCCTAGACAACAAACTCATTTAGCTAATATCGAAAACTAGATGGCGCTTTTTTCTTTTAGACTAATTCCATGAATTTTTCTACAAATGTTCCAAACTCGTTTTACTCACGAGTCCAAAATCCAATCTCATATCAGAGTTGCCATAAAGTGATCCTCATTTAATTGTTTAGATAAAAAAAATCTGTAGTTCTTTGCTGGAAGTTGTTAGATCAGCCAACTGTTAATTTTTGTAGATGACTGGTGCACCTAATTTGGTCCGTCGTTTAAACTCGAATACATGATCTTTATTTTTTTATTAGGCTGAAAGTCGGAGGCCTTTTTGGTTCTCAAAAAGTATGTAAATCAATTTTCAATTTCTTAGAGAACCACTCAGTTGGGCAATATCAAAATCAAGATGGCGCTAAGATCATCAACTGTCTTGTTTTAGTATTAATACCCTATTTTCTGGATTAAGTCCCATTGGATGTCTATTTTTGAGCTTTAGTTCAATTTTGAGCAATTATTATTGAATTAAAGCTGATTCGCCTGAAAGTATGCTCATCAATTTATATTTTTAAGATAATTACTGAATATTAACATTAAGATGGCGCTAGTTATAATATGAATGTTTCGGAATTCAAAGAACCTTGACAAAAAATGTCAACATGTTTTTCAAATTATGTGCTAGTGGTGGCGATCATGATAGCTCCAAGATAAAAGCTCAAAAGTATCCAGATTTTGTCAGTAATTTATTCCATGTGTAAATTTGAGATATATTGAGATGATTGAAAAAAGGGGACTGATTCTAAATAGATTCCAGATATTGATATCAAGATGGCGTTCCTACTTCTGGAGAGTACCGAATTCTATTTGAATTTGACAATTTTTCAAAAATCTACGAAGACACTTCTAACTACTATTTTTCCTTATGCAAAGTTTGAAGAATAATTTCGTATGAAACGCCATCTACATGTGAAATGTAGATGGCGCTCCATATTCTCTAGAATACTGAGATCTATTTAGATTTTGCCAACGTTTTCTACAGGGTTTTCATAAACCCCCGAAGTTGAGAGACATTTGGAACCATAGTGTTCCTCATGCTAAATTTCAAGATCGTCACTTCAGCGACTTTCCCTGATGACAAAAGTCATTGATCATACATAACGCCATCTAGTGGTGAAAATCGAAGTGCCCGCTACTCTCTCTCTCTCTTATTTGTGTAAATTTGAGATATAGGGAGGTGTGTTTAAAATTCAAATTCAATCAGTAAACTTTGTATTTGTAGCAAAAGTTTTTCAAAATATTTTTTTTTTGGACAGGCCAATATTCAAAACTGTCCACTTTACTTTATCAACTCAGAAGAAAATGGTACAACTCAATCTTCTCCATTTTTCAATAGAAAAAAATAGATTTATCATAACTTTCATATAACTACTCGCTGAACCAATATCGGCATCAAGATGGCGCTCTTCACTCTGCCCTGTACCGAAATCTATTTCGAATTTTTAAAAATTTCAAGACGGTTTTAAAATGGGTTTCATGAAGGTATGCATGTCAGTCCGTCCATAAAATTCATGATTCATATATATTCAAAAATTGAAATTTGAATTTGGAATTAAAATTAAATCCAAAATATTTCTTTGATAGACCCTAAAAAGTGGGTGCGGTATCCTTACAGCCAACTTTCCCTTCATCCTTTTGAATTTTAAAATGTTTATACAATTTTTTTCAATTTGCCCGTAGTATTGGAAAATAATCTTAGGTTAGTAAAAATGTTAGCTAACTATAGAATAGACAGTATAAATGATGCACATATCCTTGAGAGCCAAGTCATCTAAACTTACTTTCAATTTCAGATTTAGTACATTAAGCTCTCAAGGATATCGAATATTTTTTTCCTGAAAATTTTAATTTTTTTTTCTTGTCGTGTTAAGCAGATGAAGTTTTTGTGTTTTTCCAAAAAAAAAATTAGTAATTCTTAAATGAGCGAATAAAAAATAAAATAAATACAAAAAATACCCCTCTCTCTGCGACTCCCTCTACACTTCACTCTGTGACTCCGGCTGAGGTTCATCATAGGGTGTAGCACCAAGACCAACATATTGATTGTGATTTCGATGGATGAAACCCTTTTGGGGTGAGGCATTATAGTACACCACCCTTCGTATGCCGAACGGATCGACATAACCAAAACTGCCGGCTTTTTTACTTTCGTTGAGTTGTTCTTCTTCGTGATACTGGTGGGGTAGAACGTAACGGAAACCATTGCGCGTCACCGTTACATCATTGTATTCGGGAGCTACCAGACGTGTGCCATAGCCATGCGGCGTAAGGGGTATCCTTTGTCGTTGATAGAGTGGCGGCAAGGGGGGCAGTAAACCTTCCAAAGCATTGACATCATAGGGCAAGGGTTGTGGAGGTTGTGCGGGTGTGCTGGGAACTTGTTGTGCTGGACTATAGTAGTATCCCGTTTTGGGGGCCGCGGTAACAAATGGCGCCGGGGTGGAGTAATGATATCCCGTCGATTTACCCAAATCATTGCCAGCTATGGGTGTGGGATTGGCAGGCGCCACGGCAATGGGTCGTATTGGACGTCTACGTCTTGTTTCTCGGGGTGGGGCCATTTCCAGTGATGGCAAGGCAACGGCTGGGCGTTCATTGAATTCTTCATGATTTTCCCTCAAGGGGTATCTTCTCTTGCCGCTGCTGCTGCTGCTATCCAAAGGTACTTCATTGGGATAATGATCGAATCCCAGATAGGGTGTCTTCTCCAATTTACCGGCCTCGGCCGGTGAGAGGTAACCCAAGATGGGTTTCTCTGTTGTCGTCACCGTTGCCAGTGTGGGAGCAGGAGTTTGCAGGGAAGGTGAGTACAGCTTGGCATTGCTGCCCTCATTTGTTATACTATTCGGTCGGCCACTGCTGTGTAGCCCGTTTTTGCCATCGACCAAAACTCCCGACTGCGCCGGCACCGATTTTGTACTCTTAATGGCATCCTGGAAATTTTTTTTAAGGGAAAAAGGGGGATATTGGAAGTTTAGGAGGTTATCGGAAAAAAGAGTTTTTTTTTTTTTTGGTAAAACTTACCTGTATATCTGTGCCTTGACCCACATAGGTTACTTTGGATTTGAGAATACGATAGCCCTGCTTGTCGGCTATATAGTCTTTGAGGCGTAAATATCCTGCAGCGTCTATCCACGCTTCGGTACCTAAGGGAATCAAAAAAAGGGATGAAAAAAGTTGAGTACTAAAATTGGACACGAAAAATGTGTACAAGGGAATGACATGGGTGAGATTTAGATAAATTATCACTGGATGGGATGAAGTAAAAATCCACAATTGTGCTGAACATATAGTTTTATGAAAATTTCAAAATAGTTGCCATATCGTATAAATTGTACCATATAAAAGTTAACAAGAATTGGTTAAGTAACTGAGGTTTTGGAAGAAGCGGTTCAATTTGTCAATTTATCGAAATTGATTGGATTTCTAGTCTGAATTCCGAACTTTCGTAGAGATATAAATTTTATAAAAAAGTGACACATTTGAAGATCAAATAGTCCCTTAGCATTTTATCTTATGAAATCCAGATTTCGAGATAAAATTTTACTCTGAAAATTCCTCTCAAAACTCCACATTTCGGGGTCAAACAGATCCTTAAAATTTTCAAATTTCAATCTGCGTTAAATATTTCTTAAAAAATCTCCAACTTTGGAAGTCATCATAAAATATTCAAAAAAATCAAGCATAACAGCCCAGGAGTCCTTTAAATAAGATCTGTGGAGGTAATGTAGTACCTTCAAAAAATATATTCTTAAACAATCTTAGTTTGAAAGTCAGATAATTCTATATAAAATATATAAATAATCCAATTATAGAGAGCTGATAATATTTCCTTTAAAATGATTTCAAAAGTCCTGGTTTTAAGGTCAGAGGATCGCTTCAAAATATGCTTAAAAACTCCACGTTCGGAGGTCAGACAGCCCAATAAACATATTAAAAAAAATTGGAAAAATGCCCCCCTCCTCCACCATTTGGAAGAAACTTGAAATTTAAAAAAAAAAAAATACGTCGGAAAATACCGCTCAAATAAAAACCGTTTTATGGGAGCTATACGAAGACGTGGTCCTGCATACGAAATTTGTGTCATAGACTGTAGTAACTGTTCCGAACTTTATATACGAAACAATTCCGGTGAATAATGTCGCTAAAATCATCAAAATACCGAGTATAGGGGGATGCCGTTATATGGGGGCTATACGATATCGTGGACCGATATAGCCCATCTTCGAACTGGACCTGTCTGCAGACAAAAGACAGATTCTGTGCAAAATACATATATATATATATATATATATATATATATATATATATATACTTTGTTGAGTCTAAAATTATTATTTTGATGGGTTACAAACGGAATGACGAACTTAATATACCCTCCATATTATATATGGTGGAGGGTATAAAAATCTTGTGGTCAGGGATTCTTTAATGAAGTCTTTTAATTCACCTTTTCAGATTTTAAAATATTTTTAAGGGGTATCAGGACCTTGAAATTTTTATTGTCAAAAAACTATCTGAAGTTTGGAGATCTGATTGTCCTTTTAATTTTATTTTCGAAAAATCCAACATTTGAAGGCAGTTAGTCCACATTCACAGTTTGGATAGTCCTTTTAAAAAATAGTATAAAATATTGTTAGAAAATCCTGCAGTGGGAAAAAAGACCATTTGTAAATCAGGGCAGAAGAATGTGGGATCAAAGGGATAGGATCCTCAAGATGCTTGAAAACTCATTTTCTGCGGGGTCACAACGTTGACCCTTTGTGTACCAGTATTGTCACTTTTCAAGACAGAACCATGGTCTTGGAGTTTTTAGGGACTACCAGAGTTATAGCCGTGGATGGAACCCAGAGATATGACCATGGATTTCTTGAAGGGCTATTAGAGCTATACCTGTAGGTGTTGAAGGACCACCATAATTAAAAGCCCAGATTTTTAAGGATCAGCCGAGCTACGGTCTTGAATTTTTAAACGACTCCAAGTGACAATGGATTTTTGGTAAGACAACCGGGCAATAGTCTTAAATTTTTTTCTTGAATATTTGGAATTTAAGAACCCCCAGGGCTATAGTAGTCGATTTTTAAAGGATTTCGAGTGATCGTGGATTTTAAAGGTTACCGAGCTTATTGTTGCGAATTTTAAAAGAAATTTTCTCTGATAGCGGATTTTTGAATTTCAGGGAAAACCAAGGCTATTTTTGAAGATTTTTAAAGGACTTCTCAGCTGTAGTAGTAAATTTTTAACGCACCACCAGGACTATAATCGTAAATTTTTAGAGGACTTCACCTGATTGTGGAATTTTGGATTTTAATGGCTATGGATTTGAAAGAACTGCCATAGCTATTTTCGCAGTTATTTTGAGGAACTGCTGTTACAATAAAACCTTAACATTTAGAATTAGAGCCACTAACTAATGCTAACGTAGGGGTTTCTATCAGAAATTCGTACAATATGGAAAGAAGTGCTGCAAAGTATTCTTGAGTTGTTGAAAACCCGGTTGGAGATGAAATTTGAAATATTGCATGGAAGTCACTCCTTGAGTGAAAGGCTGGAAAAAATTCCTTCTTTAATGGTACTAAAAGTTCAAAATAATAAGATATTGTTCTTAAGTGATGGAAGTATTATAAGGCGAAAAAGAAGGAAAAAAACAGAAGTAAAAAAATAAATATTATATCGGAGCCACTTTTGGCCATTGAGGGTACGCAAAACTGGTAAAATTTACTAACTAAACGGTTTTGTAAGAACCAGAATATGATTTTTAAACGCGGGTCATCGTGCCCTCCACCATAGTATGAATATAGTGGCTACATTCGGTATTTTTAAGATTTTAACAGAATTTTTAACGGATTTTATTTTTCTGAAAATTGTCAAATTCGTTCCAAATTGTGGAGGTTATTCAAAATTCGGCCCGGACGAACTTACAGCTTTTTTTGTGGAAAATTCGACTTCAATGTAGGAAATGGTACAGCCACAGGCTAATAATATAGATTTTTGAAATCCGTTATATAGAGGTATTTAAGCACACTTTGTTACAAAATAGTGAGAAATTATGTTTTTTTTAGAAATTTGTACATTGAGGCATGGAAAGTGCTAAAAGGTACTAACTGAGCTATCTAAAATGAAAAATATCATGTATCTTGACATTTTTCATCTTAGTGATTCTTAAGGAAAGGGCGAGAAAATTCGAATTTTTTTTTTTGGATATTTTCAAGGCTTAGTGTACGAAAATTACTATTAGGTACAAAATCGTAATGCGAACTATAATTTTGAAATTAAATATGATTGACCTACTGCAAGTTTTTTTGGGGCCTACCTATGACTGTTCCATCCTGCAGTCGTTTTTCTTTTCGAAATTGGCCATTATTCGTCTGGAAACGGAAATATCGTTCGGGTCCTTCATCTGTTTGTATGTGATACTGGTCGGAGGCGGTTGTGCTGGAAATTTCCAAACACGTCAGATATAAAATCACCTGAAAAAAAAAAAACAAACAGAAAAAAAAAAATTAATTTAATTAATTAAATTTAAAAAATATAAATAAAAAATAAGGAATTTAAATATATAAATATTTCCCAATGGACATATTTGAATTTCCCCTTAAAAAACACCAAAATACAGAATCGAACTCCATACAACTCCCACACCTTTGTTGCCATGCCACCAACATTACCAGGCAACTCAAACAAACACGAAGTATTAAAAATTGTCAAAATTTGTTTATTTTCGAATTAAATTTTTTTCCATAAAATTTACAAATCTTTCAAAAAATCTAAAATTCAAAAATGTCCGCCAAAGAAAAATCGCCGAAAAAACCCTCACTGCGTGCCGGCTCATCGCGACATCAAGTGACGATACCCAATCAAAACGAAGCCGATGCCATTGCCAAAATTCGTGCCTCTCGATATGTTCGCTCGTCGCGTTATTCCCGACATTCGAAATTCCTGGTGAAAACCGATGAGGAACAATTTCAAATACGTAAGGCCCTTAATGCCTATGTGCGTGAGGGCCTCCAATTACAAGGACGTAAAACGTTCTTTCAGAGAGTTTTTGTGTTAGCCCGAAATTTTGAACCTCCTGAAAATGATAAAACCAATGGCAGGGATTCTGTCTTTTCGGCAGCAAAGGGAGCAAGGCAGCGTGACTATCGGGTCTTCTTTCAAAAACAAATGGATCGCATTTTTACCATGCTGGAGAAGAGGAAATGTACCCAGGACATATTGTCGGGGCTGTTCGTTTGTATGGATTCCTATTCGTATTTGATGATTGAAGGTGACGAAGATATGGTGGGAGAGTTCTTTTATGAGCTGGCGGCTGTGCATGATAATTTGTGGTGTGAGTCAAAGGTCTTTATGGTGGAGGACAATATTGGGGAGGTAAGTGAATTTATCGGAGCCATAAAGGGTCTCGAATCTATAAAAGACTGGGGATTTTTTAATGTAAAGGATCTGTGGTGACCTCCAGGTCTTTTTTAAGGCCTAGCAAACCTTCTTTTGTTCTGTAAAGTCTAGGAGACCTCCAGGTTGAGTTTATCAGAGTCATTAAGGGTCTCGAATCTATTAAATATAGCGGATTTTTTTATATAAAGGACCTGTGGTGACCTCCGGGTCTTTTTTAAGGCCTAGAAAACCTTCTTTTGTTCTATAAAGTCTAGGGGACCTCCAGGTCGTCTATTCGACCTAAAAACCTCCATTTATTATATTTTATCTACAGAAGATCTGTGGAAGATATTCCATCTATAGAAGGTCTGTAGAAGATATTCTAGCTACAGAAGTCCTGTAGAAGGTATTCCAATCGATAGAAGACCTGTGGAAGGTATTCTATCGATAGGAGAATTGTGAAAGGTATTCTAGCTATAAAAGACCTGTGGAAGGTCTTCTAGCTCTTCAAGGCTTGTGGAAGGTATTCTAGATAGCTACAGAAACCCTGTGGAAGGTATTATATATAGCTACAGAAATCCTGGTGAAGGAATTCCGGGTATTCAGAAGACCTGTGGAAGATATTCCATCAATAGAAGCCTTGTGGAAGGTATTCTAGCTGGAGAAAGCCTGTGGATGATATTTCATTTATAGAAGACCGAAGGAAGGTATTCTAGCTACATATGCCCTGTGGAAGGTCTTCTAGTTGCTCAAGGTCTGTGGAAGGTATTGTAGCTGAAAAAGACTTGTGGAATGTATTTCAGCTAGAGAAGATCTGTGGATTATATTCGATCTTTAGAAGACCTGTGGAAGGTATTCCACCTTTAGAAGACCTGTAGAAGGTATTCTAGCTACAGAAGCCCTGTGGAAGATATTCTAGCTACAGATAACTTTTGGAAACCCTGTGGAAGGTATTCTAAATAGCTACAGAAATCCTGGGGAAGGAATTCTGGGTATTCAGAAGACCTGTGGAAGATACTCCATCAATAGAAGACTTGTGGAAGGTATTCTGGCTGGAGAAGGCCTGTGGATGATATTTCATTTATAGAAGATCGGAGGAAGGTATTCTAGCTACAGATGCCCTGTGGAAGGTCTTCGAGTTCCTCAAGGCCTGTGGAAGGTATTGTAGCTAAAAAAGACTTGTGGAATGTATTTCAGCTAGAGAAGATTATATTCGATCTTTAGAAGACCTGTGGAAGGTATTCCACCTTTAGAAGACATGTAGAAGGTATTCTAGCTACAGAAGCCCTGTGGAAGGTATTCTAGCTACAGAGAACTTTTGGAATGTATTCTAGCTGGAGAAGGCCTGTGGAAGGTATTCCACCTCTAGAAGACCTGTAGAAGGTATTCTAGCTACAGAAGCCCTGTGGAAGGTATTCTAGCTACAGAGAACTTTTGGAAGGTATTCTAGCTGGAGAAGGCCTGTGGATAATGTTTCATTTATAGAGTACCTGAGGAAGCTATTTTAGCTGCAGAAGCCCTGTGGAAGGTATTGTAGATACAGAAGACCTGTAGAAGGTATTCTAGCTACAGAAGACTTGAGGAATGTATTACAGTTAGAGAAGACTTGTGGAATGTATTATAGCTAGAGAAGACCTGTGGATGATATTCGATCTATAGAAGATCTGTGGAAGGTACTCCAGCTACAGGAGACCTGTGGAAGGTATTCCAGCTACAAACGACTTGCGGATATTTAGCTATTGAAGTCCTGTTGGAGGTATTTCAGCTACAGGGGACCTGTGGATAATATTCTAGCTACAGAAGACCTGTGGAAGGTATTTGATCTATAAAAGACCTGTGGAACGTATTTTATCTGTAAATGACCTGTGTAATGTCTTCTTTCTGGAAGGTATTCTAGCTACAGAAGACTTGTGGAATGCATTATAGCTAGAGAAGATCTGTGGATGATATTCGATCTATAGAAGATCTGTATTTCGATCTATAGAAGATCGATATTCCAGCTACAGAAGACCTGTAGAAGGTATTCTAGCTACAGAAGATCTGTGGAAGGTATTCTAGCTACAGAAGACTTGTGGAATGTATTATAGCTAAAGAAGACCTGCGGCTGATATTCGATTTATAGAAGACCTGTGGAAGGTATTCCAGCTACAGGAAACCTGTAGCAGATATTCTAGCCACAGAAGACCTGTAGAAGGTATTCTAGCTATAAAGACCCTGTGGAAGGTATTCTATCCACAGAAGACCTAAGGTATTCTATCTCCTCAAGGGCTGTGGATGGTATTCCATCGAAGATAGTCCATCTTAAGAGGACCTGTGGAAGGCATTCTTGCTACAGAAGCCCTGTGGATATTCCATCTATTGAAGACCTGTGGAAGGTATTGAATCTGCAGAACGAGTTCTTGATATCTTTCTTCTAATCCATTTCCACTCTCTTTTTCTTTCTCTCCCTCTCTTTCTCTCCCTTATTTCAACTAAATTTGCTTCTCTCTTCCCCTCCTCCCAATTTTAGACCTACTTCAGCATTTTCCACTGCCGCCGTTCGGCTGTAATAAATATCAATGAGAAATTTCCACCTGCCACACCCGATGATGCCGCCATGATGAGTGGTCACCACCTCAAGCTAATGGAAAAAATCCGCCAGGTGGCCGAAACATTTGCCAAGCATATCAAACAAAACGATGACATCGAAATGGAAACCTCTCTCCCAGCTGATCCCTATAACAAACTCTTGCCCGAGGTACAGCGCATAGAATTGGTATTGAAATCGAAGAGGTTCTATCGCAATGTCAAAGACTTTGCCAAGACGTATCGCCTAGTGCCCCTGCATCAGGATGAGGAGTCATTGTTTTGGCCCATCCAAGATAACTACATGCCGTTGAACATCTTCGAGAGATCGCCCTTCGATGTGAATTTGACTTTCAATGACAAGGAAGCTGGAAAAGACCAACATCGAAAACCAAAGGAGGAGGAGGACGATGTGGATGATGATGGCGATGTTGTTGTGGAACAGTAGTTGTTGTAAAGGTGGAAAATTGATTTGCTGGCCAATAAATAACAACAAACAAGATCACCTACATTGTTGCTGTTGCTGTATTTTTTTAGATTCGTTGGCTTTTATTTCTCATCGAAGTTCTTGGCTTATCTCCCCGCCTGGCTGTTTGGAATTACAAATTTATGCAACCGCAATTGGCGTTGCAAACGCCAACGATGTAATCCACTGGGCCTACCCCCAACCCTCCCATAAGCAATACTATGTATGTTCTCCCCCCTGCCCACCATTGAACGTGAGTCCTCATTCAAGTCTTTCGTTTTCATTCGTATCGCAGATCGAAGCCAACTCAATGTTGGTTGGTCGACTACTTCAAACAGTGGCTGCCAGGGTGCCTAGCAGCCTACCGGCCAACCTGCCAGCTATCTGCCTGCCTGACAAAATGTTGTAGGCATTGTCATTCTACTGGTTTTTTATGTTTTGCAATGATTTTTGCTGCTGCTGTTGTTTTTGTTTTTGTCATTTCTTTTTTCCAATTCGGCCTACGTCAGCTCCACATAGAGCAAATGATCTCACTTCAATTGCAAACTTATCATTTAAAAATACAACAACAACAACAAAACAGCGGGGAATAACAAAAAAACTGAAATACTTGATCGCTACAAAAACACAGTAACCTATGCACATGCCTTGTCAGCTGTTATGAGTATCTGTTGGAGTTGTCGTTTTGTTCTTGATTTCTTTTTCTATTTATTTTTGAGAACTGCATAAGTAGGCGTATCTAATTGGAACCTGGCCGTGTCGTATCACTCATACAAATGATGGCGCTTGTTAAGTGTCACAATTCAATTTTATGGCGAATATCCGTAAGGCAACTTGTGTGCGTTGCGAAATTCCAATGCATTTCAATTTTCGTGAGAAAATAAATAAAAGATCTAGCGGCTTTCTAGAATCAATACAAGACCTGAAGGTCTTCCAGGTTCCATAGAAGACCTGGAAGTCTTTTAGGTTCATAGAAGATCTGGAGGTCTTCTAGGCTCCATTGAAGACCTGGAGGTCTTCTAGGCTCCATAGAAGACCTGGAGGTCTTCTAGGCTCCATAGAAAACCTGGAGGTCTTCTAGGCTCCATAAATGACCTGGAGGTTTTCTAGGCTCCATTGAAGGCCTGGAGGTCTTCTAGGCTCCATAGAAGACCTGGAGGTCTTCTAGGCTCCATAGAAGATCTGGAGGTCTTCTAGGCTCCATAGAAGACCTGGATGTCTTCTAGGCTCTATAGAAACCCTGGAGGTCTTCTAGGCTCTATAGAAAACCTGGAGGTCTTCTAGGCTCTATAGAAGACCAGGAGACCTGCTACGCTCTATAGAAGACCTGGAGGTCTTCTAGGCTCTAAAGAAGACCTGAAAGTCTTCTAGAATCAATAGAAGACCTGAAGGTCTTCTAAGCTCTGTAGAAGACCTGGAGGTCTTTTTGGCTCTATAGAAGACCTGGAGGTCTTCTAGGCTCTATAGAAGACCTGGAGGTCCTCTATGCTCTATAGAAGACGTGGAGGTCTTCTAGTCTCTATAGAAGACCTGGAGGTCTTCTAGGCTCCATAGAAGATCTGGAGGTCTTCTAGGCTCCATAGAAGACCTGGATGTCTTCTAGGCTCTATAGAAACCCTGGAGGTTTTCTAGGCTCTATAGAAAACCTGGAGGTCTTCTAGGCTCTATAGAAGACCAGGAGACCTGCTACGCTCTATAGAAGACCTGGAGGTCTTCTTGGCTCTATAGAAGACCTGAAAGTCTTCTAGAATCAATAGAAGACCTGTAGGTCTTCTAGGCCGAATAGAAGACCTGGAGGTCTTCTAGGCCGAATAGAAGACCTGGAGGTCTTCTAGGCCGAATAGAAGACCTGGAGGTCTTCTGGGCCGAATAGAAGACCTGGAGGTCTTCTGGGCCGAATAGAAGATCTGGGGTTCTTCAAGGCTCAATAGAAGGCCTGGAGGTCTTCTTGGCTCTATAGAAGACCTGGAGGTCCTCTAGGGTGAATTGAAGACCTGGAGGTTTTCTAGCACAATAGGAGACCTGCAGATCTTCTAGGATCAATAGGAGATCTGCAGGTTTGCTAAGATCAATAGGATACATGCAGGTCTTCTAGGCCGAAGAGACGATCTGGAGGTCTTCAAGGCTCTATAGAAGGCCCGGAGGTCTTCTTGGCTTGGATATAGAAGATCTGGAGGTCGATTAGGCTTTATAGAAGACCTGGAGGCTTTCTAGATTGTATAGAAAACTTGGAGGAGGTCTTCTCTGTTATTGGTGTTTGCCTTTTACTTGGATTAAATAATTAAAACAAATTTCAAATTAATTTTGCAACAACTACAACCACATGGGTTTGCAAATGTTTTATGCTACCATATCTGGAGCACAATGCATGCATTTGGTGTTGTTGTTGCTTTGTTTTTTGAATAAATTACTAACATTAAAATGAGATTACAAAACCCCATAATTTTCTGAGCTGATAACCTCGCTTAACCTCTCTTTTTAAAGACAAATAATTGGAAACAAAACTGAATGACAGTGCATTGTTTACAAATGAATGACGTTTCAAGAAGAAGAAGAAGAAAAAAAAAACAATGCAAAAAACAAAACTTCGCGCCAAAATCAGCCAATGCGGTAAAACAATTACCGCTGACTTTGTTGCTCGTTGCTGTTGTTGTTGATGATGGCTGCCGGTTGCTTTTGTTGTTTTTGGAAGCATACATTGTCGCTTCCGTTTGTCATTTCTGGTGCACCCGGGTGATTTGTCTACCGAGCAGCATGTTACCAAAGGTGTCTTGTTTTTGTGTTGTACTCCACGTAAATTATTGTTGCTGCCTCATGAGGTGGTTTCACGATCTTCGCTTTCAATGGAAACTGGTTGGCTGACTAGATCAGCCAGTCAACCCCACGAATGAGAAAATAAAAACAAAATCGAAACAACTCCATAAAAAGTTGCGCAATTTCTGTTTTTGCGAAAACTGCCTCAACGCATTTCAGATCATGCCACATTTTGTGGCACCCCAAATGGCGGGGGGAAGTTGGCAGCACTTTTTTCTTCAAATAAACCAGACAGGCGTTACACAACTGAATAAAAACGACATCCAGTCACACATCTTTTTTCAATTGGTTTGATGCAGATACCTCGCTTCTCTCACTCTCTCAGGTCTCATCTGCTGATGAAAAGCGAAAAAACAACAACAACAAAAATCATGTTCAACTTCACCTTGACTCTTGCACTTGGAGATGGTCGTCGTCGCCGCCGCCGCTGATGACGCCTCTTCAAATCTGTGTTTATTTTTTTGTTTAAATCTCTTCCATGTCCCCGCCATCAGCTACTCCTCCTCCTCCCATCGGGCAGTTGAGGAAAACTCATCATTCAACAGCTGACTTGTTTTGCGACTCTGGAAAATTTGTTTGTTTGGAAATGCCGCATCTCGGCAATCGTCATCGTCATTAACGAATTGGTGTGAAACTGGTTTTTTTCTCAGTTGCTTCCCAAAGCCAAGGGGAAAATTCGCAACCATTCATAAAACACATACACACACACAACATGTTCGTATGTACTTAGATATGTGTGTGTACGTATGTAGGTATGTTTGTGCCACTTGCTATTAACAAATAATTTATCGATTACATTTTAAATAGTTTCGCTGAATGATTGATTCGATGGAGCCACTCCATTTGGTAATGGATGTTTCGTCCATAAATCGTCGGTGTAATGAATCGGACTGGCGGTTTTCGAAATCAATATTCCCGTCAAACATTGAACTTTTACTTTGAGCAAAAAAAAAAAAACAAAAATGAAATAATGTTGCAATTCAGATTTTAATGTTTGGAAATTAAAAGAAAATTACCTGCCATTAAAACTTCAGATTTTAATCGTATCAAATATCCATGATATTATTTTGAAACAAACATCCGCTTGTCAGACATGGGTGGAGATTAGAAAGTGATATTTATTTCGATATTTTACTGAGGTTCAACATTTTTTATATTCAAAATGAAAGTGGAGGCGTTGAGATTTTTTACGCCCAATGGAAGGTCCTACATTAATTCATGTCTTCAATTCAACATAGGAGACCTCAGCATAGCAGAGGTCACCTATAGAGCATAGGTCAGCTATTGAGCATAGGAGACCTTCAGGTCACCTGTAGAGCATAGGAGACCTTCAGGTCACCTGTAGAGCATAGGAAACCTTCAGGTCACCTATTGAGCATAGGAGACCTTCAGGTCACCTATTGGGCATAGGAGACCTTCAGGTCACCTATTGAGCATAGGAGACCTTCAGGACACCTATTGAGTATAGGAGACCTCCGGTCACCTATTCAGCATAGGAGACCTTCGGGTCACCTATTCAGCATAGGAGACCTTCGGGTCACCTATTCAGCATAGGAGACCTTCGGGTCACCTATTCAGCATAGGAGACCTTCGGGTCACCTATTCAGCATAGGAGACCTTCGGGTCACCTAGTCAGCATAGGAGACCTTCAGATCACCTATTGAGCATAGGAGACCTCCTGGTCACATATTCAGCATAGGAGACCTCCAGGGTCTACCATTCGGCGTAGAAGACCTCCAGGTCCGCTAGCTGACCTCCAGGTCCGCTAGCTGACCTCCAGGTCCTCTGTTCTGCCTAGAAGAACCTCCAGGTCCTCTATTCGGCCTAGAAGAACTTTAGTTCTTCTATTCGGCTTGGAAGATTTCCAGATTTCTAGAAAACCTCCAGGTCTAGAAGACCTCCTGGTCTTCTTTCAGTCCTCGGCCTAGAAGATCTCCAGGTCTTCTATACGGTCTACAAGACCTCCGGGACTTCTATTCGGCCTAAAAAACCTCCAAGGTCTTCTAATCGGCATTGAAGACCTCCAGCTCTTCTAATCGGCCTAGATGACTTCCAGGCCACATATTTGTCTCCTATTCTATTCGGTCCAGATGACCTCTAAGTCTCCTATTTGGCCTACTTGATTTGGAGGTCTTCTATTCAGCCTAAAATACCTTTGTGGATTCTATTCGACCTAGGAGACCTCCTGGTCTTCTATGCGGCCTAGAATGTCTCCTGGCCTTATATGCT